AGAAGTCCTGGAGCGTTGTCTGGCGTAGGTTCCAGTTGATTCTGGTCCATTCCTTGCTCACTTCGACGCGATCTATCTTGGTGTTGGGTTTATGGTGTTCCTTGAGTGATTGATACGCGGCAAGGGGGTCGTACATCCTATCGATGTAACGGTACTGACTTGGGTCCAATGTTTCAATTTGGATCCCGAGAGCCTTTTGTTTGTCGGCAGCGGACATCGACGACGCTCTTTCGCTGTGGGTTGCCTCCAAGAGACCTTTGACTATCAATCGCACCTTAGGTAGGTCTTCCAGTTGCGGTAGTTGTTTTCCGTAAGACGGACAGTGGGGACGGCGGCCGACATCAGATCCTTCTTGTTGCTATCGTGTTGGGCTCAGATCCTCCAAAGAGAGGTCTTGAACGATTGTGGTATTTCCTTGTAGGCGATGGCGAGGAATGCAGCGGCAGGCGTGTGCTAGCGACTTCAGTCCAAGAAGGCAAAACGAAAAGTGAATTGTGTTAACGGAAGCTAGTCTGCTTTGTTCTCTGCATCTCCATGTAGCTTCGCGTCGCTTCGCCGTCTCTTGATGTGACAATCGGCAGTCGGGTTCTGATTTGCTGACTGTTCCAGGTTTGGCAGCATCATCGAATCTTCAACAAGAGGGCGTTGATGATGATTGAATGCAGAGGCATGGGGTATTGTTCCGCCGTGGTGAATTGCACGAGGTGGCTCGGCGTGAAAAACCGCTCCTCGACGATGATTGGCTATCCGGATAATTATTCGTATTTCCGTTTGACTTGAAGGCTTTGCAGCGTCGTCGACTTGAGCGATTCGATGCCGCCGCCGACACTGGCCGAAAAGGCGGAGCTCAAGGGAATTCTTGAGAAGATGAACCTGGACACTGGAGATGTCGTCCTGTTCGACCGCAAGTGCAATTCCATGGGTTTGTATGGAGGAGTGATTTGCCACTCGGCAAAGCTGTTTGGCCAAACGCGATGGGATCACAATGGCGTCATCGTCAAGACTGACGACGGTCTGAATAACCTTGCTTCGTGGATCGGTACGGTGTCTTCCATTGTACTGAGGTTGGCGTTGCGGAGTAGGCAAGCTCATGTTCCTTGAGGCTGCAATGAATGGTGTCAAGCTACGTCCTCTAATCGACCGAATCCTCTACAGTCGGTCGTACGAGGTGCGCATTCAAAAGGTAGAAGTTCACCGGACGCCTGAGTTCCGCCAACGCGCCGCCGAATTCATTCGGCGCGTCATCGAGCAAGATATTCCATACGAAGACCGAATTCAAGGTAGTTTGCATCCCAACCGATTCAATGAACTCACATCGCTCCAACCACCATGACATGCAGTCCTTCTCAACGCTGGCGCATCATTTGTTCCGTCTCGCATGGCCCGCGAACAGTTCTACCACGACATCGTACGTCTGTGCCTTTCCAAATCGCTTGACTGACTGGTTCCTGAGCCTTAAGGTGGAGCTGAAGCGCCAAATCAAGACCATTCAAGATGACATCACCCATCGGTCGAAGATGACGCCCTTTGAGAAAAACTCACTCCGCGCCGAACTCGCCAGTTTGCGCGAGCAGCATGACGCCATTGTTCAGCAACTCGACCAAACTGAACGGTCTGTGCTGTGCTCTCGTCTCTGTCCCTGTCAACTATCCTTTTCTCAAGAGTCCATGACCAGGTCTGTCTTTGAAAACAAAGCCGCGTCATCGTCCGATCCCGCTCGCTTCTTTTGCTCGCAACTCGTGGCTGCGCTGTACCAACACGTAGGCCTATTGCTGCCATATCCCGCCGCCACGTCATACCGTCCACACAACTTCTCCGAAACAGACGAATACATCAAGTTGCAAAGTTCGTTCGCAACATTCGAGATACCACCTCACACTAACTTTTGTGGCTTTGTCGAAGATGCTGCGTGGCTGCCGCAGATCTCCCTACGCGAGCACTTCACAGACACGGAGAAGCAACTGGACGACGAAGCCATTGCGTTGACGACTCCTCCACCGCCCGACGTCCTCGACAAGATCGTGCATACATTGCAGCGCCACGCAGTCTTCCATGCGTACACCGAATCGGAACTGCGCGACGTCGCGCGACAGTTTCGCCGCAAGAGGTACAGATCTACCCACGCCAAGGATTTGTCAAGTGATGGATCGCTCGAAGGTTTGCGCCAGGACAAGTGGTGTTTTACCAAGGCGCCCCAGGCGACTATTTCTACGTGATTACCGACGGCACGGTCGATGTCCTGGTGAACTACGATGCGTACGCACGTGAGCAACCGAAGGATTCGGTGGCGGTGGAAGTGACGACGGGTGGAGCGCTCCCGACTCTCCGCCGCAACATGTCCAAGTCGTTTGACAACCAAGAACTGGCCGCATCCAGCCATTTTGTACGACAACTTTGCTTTCAAAGCATGCTTGACCTGTCATTTCGTAATGCCGTGGCCGATGGCAGGTGCATGTGGCGACAAATGGCCCTGGCAATGCGTTTGGGGACTCAGCACTCATGTACAACACCCCGCGTCGCGCAACAGTCAAGTGCTCTGAGCCCGTGGTGGCGTACGCCCTCGACAAAGCAACCTTTGCCGATGTGGTCAAGCGCCACCCAGCCGCGACGCAGTCCCTGGCCGAGCGCCAGTTCCTCATGCAAACGCTGGCCAACCATCCCCTCTTCGCCAACGTCAGCGACCAGGCCCAAGCTGCAGCAGTACGCTCCGTCACTTGTTCTTGTCTTACCACTTGATGGGATCGTTTGCCAGGTGCGGCAATGTTTCTCGCTGAACATGCCCAAAGGCTCGATGGTGCTGGAGCAAGGGCAGTTTGGCGACTACTTTTACATTGTCGAAAAAGGAGCTTGCGCCATCTCCCGCCATCACACTGGTACGCCAGTGGAATCTACAAGTCTCTCCCACATGCGATTCGAACTGAGGTCACGAATAGATGGCGACGAGTTTTTGGACCGCGTGGTCGGTCGCGGAGATGCATTTGGGGAAGTCGCGCTCCTGTACAACAGCCGTCGAGGAGCAAGTGTTAAAGCGATCGAAGACAGCAAAATTTGGTGCATGGTACGTTCGTCATCGTGAGGTCGTTTCCTGGCGTCATTCGTGGCCAGGATCGCAGCATTCTCCTGTCGACGACGCGTAGTGGGTCGACGGCGCTGCTCGACATTTTCAACAAAACGGCAAGTCTGCACGACGGCGACGAGAGCTTTCTCACGTCGGATGACGTGGCGAACCTCCTCGAAGGCGACGCAGGCGTGAACACTGTGCAGACCTTGCTGTTCCCAGACAAAATGACAAAGATCAACTTTTCTCAATTTGCCCATTTCCACATGTGCGTGGAAGCGTACTCGTCGCGGCAGTTCAATCCGCTCTTGGCCGAGGCATTTTATCGAGTACACTGGCACCTTTTCAGTGGCATACGCAACTGATGCTGCTGTAGTCGCTTCTTCGGCGCTCCAGCGACCCTGGCCTCTCGTCGTCGTCCGTGCAGCTGAACGCCACCCCGTAACTCTGCCCATCATGATAAACGTGCGCGGTCTAAAGGGAGAAAATTTTAGATCGACCGCCGTTCAGCTATTTTTTCATAAGAAGAGCCCCACCGACGCCATCACATACCACGATTGCGTTGTGGCCTGCCAAGCTTGGCGACGATCCCCATCCCAGGCTCCTCCCGAAATTGCCTCGCTTCTCGCTACGCTGCATGCCGACTTGATGCTGCTCGAGCAGCAGTGGAGGCACACTGCATTTGATGTACTCCTATTCCATTGCTACCACGGCCGCGGAGCAAAACACTCTGATTCTAGATGTCCGGTCCCACCACCTCAATGACAGCTGCGTCGTCATCGGCTACAGCAGCATCGAGTGATGCCCCCGTGCCATTTCGCTCTCTCTTCTCGCTCCAAGACGTGTTTGCAGCTATCTTTGCCGGCATCGTGGCGCGCACATCCACGGCGCCACTCGAGCGCATCAAACTAGCGCGCCAAGTTGGTCTCCTTCCTTCAAGTCTCAATTTGTGGCGCAGTGTCCAGCACATGGTGCACGTGGCTGGTTGGAATCGTACGAAGAAACGAGTGTGCGTTGGAATATGTCGTCGTCATTCGACTTGTGTGCAGGTCTGTTTGCGGGGAACTTCGTCCACTGCGCAAAGCTCGTTCCGTCGTTTCCGCTCAAGTTGATGGCATGCGACGTGCTGCGCCAGCACTTTCATCAGCTAGGTACCACGGGCTAACGAATCTTCCTGTAGTAGCGTGCAGAGCTGACAAAATGAATGAGCGATAGGATTCAATGCTGAGGTGAAAAATGCGCTGGCTGGCGGCAGTGCAGGCGTCGCGGTCCAAGCCGTGCTGTACCCCCTAGATGTCGTGCGCGGGCGCATGGCGCTCCAGCAAACCGTGGAGCCGATCGCCAAGTACCCGACCGTGGCGTCGTGTGTTCGTGACATGGTATATTTCACTCGATCGACGTCAGTGACGGTGCACCTAGGTGCAGAGGGAAGGCATGCGGTCGTTCTACCGAGGATTCGGGGTGGGCACCCTCGGCGTGTTTCCTTATATCGGCATAAACTTTGCCATGTACGAATTCTTGCGGCCGTGGCTGGTCGTGCAGCAGCACCATCGCCATGCCGAGTACGTTGACGACCTGTACGACTGACCAGTGCTGACGGCTCGAGGGTAGTGCGGATCGTGCGAGTGGATTCGTCGTGTCGGGTCAAATTGCATGTGCCCTTGGGGCGTCCGTGACGGCGCAAGTTACAACGTACCCGTTGGACCTCGTGCGTCGCAAAATGCAAATGCAAGGCGACTGGCTCGCTCCGCACGTGTGGCCCAAGTAAATTCCCCATCCATCAGGCATGTTCAACGTCACCTGTGTTGTTCTTCCAGGTACTCGTCGACGTGGGATTGCATCAAGCAAATCGGCAGTGGCGGAATGCTCCAGTTCTACCGTGGATTCGCTCCGAACGTCGTCAAGGCGTTGCCGGCGTCTGTCGTGTCGTTCGTAGTGTACGAGACGTTGCGGCAGGATAGCGAGTAAGCACGCCACTGAACCATGGGGAGGAGAAATGTGAAAGGAAGCGTCGTGTTGAGCCTCAGTGAACGACGTCGTAAAACATACTGCTAAGGCCATAGCGCACCCCAAATGCCGCGACGCACGAGACAACTTGGAACGCCAGGAGCAATTGAACGAGGCGCTTCTCGGGCATGGGACCAAAGACGACAAGGAACAGATTGAGCATGGTCAGGTTGGCACGCGTCGAATCGGGTGATATCTGACAAGACATGCGGCCATATGAAGCAAGCGACTGCATGTACAAGGCGTACCATTGAAGGTTCGAGGTTGCCTGTTTTCGGGTTGAACTTGGGGAGGCGGTGGCGGGGGCACGGAATAAACTTGAACAGTTGCGGGATCGAGTAGATAAAGTTGAGGATCTGCGGAGCAAAGAAGAGCAGGAGCGTCTTGGAAAAGTGGCCTAGGATGCCGGCGACTGCAAACGTCATGCCGGCGTAATAACAAAACGTGTCCCCGACGAACACCCGCGACGGGTACCTAAATGGTACGATAATGACTCCAACGGGATCGACATGGACATACCAATTGTGATGGAGCAGCCCCAAGGTCGTCAGGAGAAACGGAAGCATGATGATGAGGGAAAACAAGTGGTAATGGAGACCGTCGTGGTCGCGGAGCACTTGGGTCAGGTTGAGCACGACGACGGCAAGACCGATCACGAACGACTGTATCGACGAGTGAGACACAGAGTTAGTGCATAGTCGATCCTACCTGGCCAGCTTCGAGTCCGTTGCACCCAGCGTAGATGTTGATCGCGTTCGTGCAAAACACGGCCATCATCCCCATGTAGACGTAGTACACGTAACCCAAGTCGACGATGTCGCCATGCTCGGTCACGTTGAAGAAGATCGACAAGATAGGGTGAAACACGCCTCCTTGTCCGATGATTCCGCGAACGAAAGATGGCATCACGACCGCGGTGACGCCCGAGTAGTGCAACAACACAGGGATCGTGGCAAGCGGTGGAAAGAGAAGCTTGTGTCGCCACTTCAGGTCCAAGAGATCGTCGCAAAATCTGCACAGAGCAACGGGCTGAGCTGTCTGTAAACGTAGGTGCAGCATAGACCCCACATACCCCAACGTGATCATGGCGGCGATGGACACAATGCCCCACCGCATGCTCGCTTGATTGAACTCGACGAAGAAGCTAAGTACAGTCAAGATCGCAACGAACACAGACCCCGACACAATTCCCAATGCTTCAGGACTAAAAGCATCGAAATCGTTCAAGTTACGCAATGTTGTGCCACATGCGATCGAGTTTGTACATTGGGATTTCGCCTGCGGGGGTACCTTTCTTACAGAGATCCTTCCCAGAGAGCTTGGCCGGCCAGTGGTTCTTCAATGTGCCAACGAGGGCGACGACGGCGCCGTACCCAACTGTCGAGGAGGCCGCAAGGACGGTCCACATCATCTCGTTGACTGATCAAATACCTTTTGTAACGTGTTCGGTGTACATATGACAAATGAGCATATAATTGGCCAAAATATAGCATAAACAATTCATTTTAGCCAATCAAAGGACTCCATGAACGAACGCATCTTTTGCGGTAATCTCGAGAAACCGCAGCGAACGGTGAGGGCAAACAACCCCGGTTGAGCCTTCATCGGGTTTTTTATGAAAATATCGAGGTCGATGGGACACAGCTCACTCAGTTACGGGTGAGCGCAGTGGGCTCGCGAAACAACGGCTGCAATGGACAATTATAGAATGTGATTGGCTAAAATAGCTGAAATGGCATGAAAATGATTGGTTAAAAATTGTGGGTATCAGCGCCTCGCGTTGAACGTACTGCTCGTATGTGTGGCATATTGGCGCTGATTGCAAAAGAAGACGATGGACGACTGCAAGAACTACGTCGTGACGGCGCAGAAGCCGACGAGTGTCACGCATTCGTGCGTGGGTAACTTCACGGGCAGCAGCGATACCAACTTGATCCTTGGGAAGAGCACTCGTGTGGAGATCCATTTGCTCACGACGGAAGGGTTGACTCCGTTGCACGATGTACCGATCTATGGCCGAATCACGATCTTGGAGCTGTTCCGACCATCTTTGTCGGCAGTGGATCTTCTCTTTTTGTGTACACAACGGTAACGCCGCTGCATGTCGACATGCGCATTCCTTGACGATAAATATGGTTTAGATACCAATTCTGCGTGCTCGAGTACGACAGAGCGACGAGAACAGTCGTGACCAAGGCGCATGGCAACATTCGCGACAGCGTTGGGCGCATGAGTGAAGTCATAACGGGTGGAAACATCGACCCTGAAGGACGTCTCCTTGGCATGAACCTTTACGAAGGTGCGTATCACCTGCACGCCCAATCAAGCAATGACGAGTGCACAACAGGTTACTTCAAAGTCATTCCTATGGACGGTCATGGCAAAGTGTCGGACACGTTTAACATCCGCCTGGACGAACTTCGCGTTATTGACGTCAAGTTTCTGTACGGCTGCTCGAAGCCGACGATTTGCGTGCTTTACGAAGACCACCGAGCGGCGCGCCACGTCAAGACGTACGTGATCTTGACCAAGGAGAAAGAGTTTGCCGACGGGCCATGGAGCCAAAACAACGTCGAAGCGGGCGCGTCGCTCTTGATTCCTGTCCCGTCGCCGTTCGGCGGCGTCTTGATTGTGAGCCAGCAAATGATTGTGTACCACAACGGGAACACGTGCCATGCCATCGACATGCAGCCGACCGTAATTCAGGTGTACGGGCAGGTCGACAAAGGCGGATCACGCTTCCTACTGGCGGACCAGTTCGGGCTGCTCCAAGTCGTCGTGCTGCAGCACACGGGGAAAGACGTGACAGGCATCTCTCTCGACGTGCTCGGCGAAACGTCGATCGCGTCGACGCTGTCGTACTTGGACAATGGAGTAAGTCCTCCTTCCTGTGCTTCTCACTGTTACCATACTCCTCGGCATGGACGCTGACATTGTGCAGGTTGTGTTTGTCGGTAGTTCGTTCGGGGACTCGCAACTAGTCAAGCTCCACCCGACGCGCGACCCCACGACCAACTCGTACCTGGAGGTGCTCGACAGCTACACAAATGTGGGTCCTATCGTCGACTTCGTCGTGATGGATTTGGATCGTCAAGGCCAAGGACAGATCGTCGCGTGCAGTGGCGCGTACAAGGACGGGTCCCTCCGCATCATCCGCAACGGCATCGGCATCAACGAACTGGCCGGGACCGACCTGCCTGGGATCAAGGGCATGTGGCCTCTGCGTCCAACATTTGCCGCCGAGCAAGACACGCTCCTCGTGCAGAGTTTTGTCAACGAAGTGCGCGTCCTTGGCTTCGCAACGGTCGACAACGACGTAGAGCTCGCGGAACAGGAAGTTCCAGGGCTGGCCAACTCGAAGACACTCATCTGCCGCAACGTCGTGGGGGACCACTGGCTGCAAGTGACCGAGCGCGAGATTCGTCTGATATCCGCCGCCACGTTGCAGTGTGCAGCGTCGTGGAGCCCATCCGCGTCGCAGCGCATCACGGTGGCAGCGGCCAACCCGACACAAGTCATTGTGGCTCTCTCGGGCGGTGTTTTGGTGTACTTCGAGATTGCTGGCCAAGCCAACAGTCTCGTGCAGAAAGCTCAAACGAAACTCGCGCACGAAATTGCGTGCCTCGACATCACGCCCTTGGTCGGCGACACCAAACCAGCACCCGACACCCACTGGGAAACCCAAGCGCTCGCCACGACCCGCTGCGTCGTCGGGCTGTGGTCGGACTTGTCTGTATCGCTGTACCACCTACCCGACCTCCGCCTGGAAACAACAGTGCTGCTGGGCGGCGACGTGTTGCCTCGATCGCTCCTGTCCATTCGTTTCCACGACCAGCCGTATGTCCTCGTAGGGATGGGCGACGGTACGTTGTACACGTACGTTCTCGACATGGACGCATCGACGGCGGCGGTGACCTTAACCAACAAGAAGAAGATCAGCCTCGGCGCGCAGCCCATTTTGCTGAGCGCGTTCCGGTCCAAAGACGTCACGCACGTGTTTGCTGCGTCCGACCGCCCCACCGTTCTCTACTCGCAGCACGGCAAGCTGCTCTTTTCCAACGTACGTATTTGAAAGTACCATCTCATGGCCAGTCGATGATCTCAATGGTGTCCGAAGGTGAATGTGAAACAAGTGAACGCGATGTGCTCGTTCAACTCAGCGGCGCTCCCGGATTGCTTGGCGCTGGCGTCGGCGGAAGACTTGACCATCGGCACGATCGACAACATCCAGAAACTCCATGTTCAAACCGTGCCTCTCCATGAATGGCCACGGCGGCTCGCGCATGATCCTATATCACACACTCTCGCGGTGTGCACGGTCAAGTACTCGCTGGACGCAGACAACAATCACGTGGACGAGATGGAAGTGAGCTTTGTCCGGCTCCTGGACGACCAGTCCTTCGACACGCTGCACTCGTATCGGCTGGACCCGTTCGAGTCGGCGTGCTCGATCGTGCACTTGACCTTTGACGGCCACCCGTACTACGTCGTAGGGACGGCGTACGTCCACGAGGAAGAGAACGAGCCGCACCAGGGCCGCATCCTTGTGCTGTCGGTCGTTCAGGCGAAGCTCGTGCTCGTGGCGGAGAAGGAGGTGAAGGGGGCCGTCTATTGCTTGAATGCGTTCCAGGGCAAACTCTTGGCCGGGATCAACAGCAAGACGACTCTGTTCAAGTGGAGCGAGAACGCCGAAGACGCGGACAAGGAACTCGTCGCTGAGTGCGGTCACCACGGCCACACGCTAGTGCTCTACATGGAAAGCCGAGGCGACTTTGTCGCGATCGGGGACTTGATGAAGTCGATCTCGTTGCTCAACTACAAGGCATTGGACGGGAGCTTGGAGGAAATCGCGAAGGATCTGAACTCGAACTGGATGACAGCGGTGGAAATCCTTGACGACGACCACATCATCGGGAGCGAGACGGACTTTAATTTATTCTGTGTCGAGCGACAAAGTGGCGCCACCACCGACGAAGAGCGCAGCCGCCTTGATTGCATCTCCGAGTACCACGTTGGCGAGTTCGTCAACCGGTTCCGTCACGGCAGTCTGGTCATGCAAGGGATGAGTGCAACGTCGACACAACGGTCGCCCATCCTCTTTGGGACTGTCAGCGGCATGATTGGGTGCATCTTGCCACTGGACAACACTCAGTATGCGTTTTTGCGCCGTGTTGAAGCGGCACTCAACCACGTGATCAAGGGTATTGGAGGGCTGCAGCACAAAGAATGGCGCATGTACGAAAGCAAGCGTACCGTGAGCGAGGCCCGCGGGTTTATTGACGGCGACTTGATCGAAGGCTACCTCGACCTCACCAAGCCCCACCAGCAAAAGACTGTTGACTTGCTGAACGTCGACGGCGCCATGGACGGTCAGCCGCCTGTGACCGTCGAAGAGCTCACATCTGTCGTGGAAGCGCTGGTGCAGCGACACTAACTGTCCTTAGTACACTCGTCGCTCCTCCATGCCATGTTGCATCGTCAAACGAAAGATCTTGGATGGTATCCGGATTCGGATATTAGATTCCGCCAGTGCGAATTTATTTGCGAAAGGCGTCGCTGACGGCGATACCTAGCTACATGGCGGCAGCGGCGGAATCTGGAACCAACTTTTCAGCTCCACATGAATCCATGCAAGAAACGCTGTTGCATGAGGATGTTGAAGAGTGCAAAGAAGCAGACGTCTCAGACGATGATGGACCAACGACAGAAGGCGCCGAGTCGCCAACGGTGAATGAGCATCACCCGGAAACTTCCACAGCAAGTACAACGAACGGAATCGAGCATGGTCGCAGATCGCACGGCAATCCACCACCAGCGTTGGAAGAGAATGGAGGCGCGGAAAGCATTGACGACGTTGGGTCGTTGGCATATCTCCGGAAAAGCATTGATGTTGAGGACATTGATGTCCCGATCTCCACCGACGACTTGATGCGATCGTTGGACGCAGAGCTCGACAAACGTCGGCCAGATACGTACATCATCACGCAATTGTGTCGTGATTTGGGTGAAATACCCAGCAAGTGGCGGGCCAGGGTGTGGAAGGAACTGCTCTGCCCTGGTGGAATAAAAGCCGACTTGCCGTGGGACGTCATCTCTATGATGGAACAAGACGATCCGAACCAACGAGTGATCCGTGCGGATGCCCCGCGCACGCGAGCCAAGGATTTCGCACCACATTCGCGCGAGTGTGTCGAGCAAACCCTCGTGCATCTGCTGACGTACTACTGCAAGTGCAAAAACATTCGGTACAAACAAGGGATGAATGAAGTGCTGGCACCCTTCCTTCTTTTGCGTGGCGATCTTTCGTCCACGTCGCCGTCGTCGGGATGGACCGACGCCGTCGTGTACCAATGTTTCTACACGTTCATCGACAAGTACTTGACGAATGTGTTCTCGGACCGCGAGTTCCGGTCATTGCAGTGCTCGATGCGGCTATTGCGGCTGCTGCTGCAGTACCACGACCCGAATTTGTGTACAACCTGTGCCAGCCACTTTATTCTTTGACTGGGTGGTTGTCCATAGGCGCCCATCTCGACCAGCACGACATGTCACCGGAATTGTACGTCACGCCGTGGTTCATCACATTCTTTACTCGCAACGAGTCGCCGGACTTGGTGTTTGCGCTGTGGGATACAGTTCTCCTCGAAGATGATCCATGCTTGCTGCATTTCTTCGCTCTCGCGCTGCTGGAAGACAGCCGAGATCGCGTCATGGAAGCCGACGTGGCGGAATTGCCCCAAGTTCTCGCCAGGTTAACGTTCACGTCGGTGGAACATGTTAAAGAGCTGACAACCATTGCACAAGATCGCCTGGCCTGCACTCCCGCCTCCTTCCGGAAGGACGTCATGTTGGTACGACGAGCAACCATCCCGCCAAGCTGCCATCACGGACACTCTGACGTCTGTAGGTGTGCTACCGGCCCCTCACTGATCGATCGTTGCCAGCGCTGCGGCAAATGGGCGCAGCTCCGTGCTTGAACGTACACCCCCAAGAAGTGGTCGCCCACATGGTGTCCAAAATCCAAACAAACCATGCGCCGAACGGCCTCGCGCTGCTCTTGCTGGACTGTCGGCCGTTTTCCGCGTTCCAAGACTTTCACTTTAGTCTGTCGTACCACATCGATCCGGACGTGCTCGCCAGCCCCGAAGCATTCAACGTGCTCTTGGATGGGTTTGGTCGCATGAAAGAGTGCCACTTTTGCTTTCTCGGGGACTCGTCGATCGCGCAGCAACGTGTGTCATCGGACGATCCGGCAACGAGTGCCTCGGTGAGTTCGAACGGCCCGGCGTCTCCGTCAGGGGACTGCGATATGCACGTGACTCGGTTCGTCCTGCTCTTTCTTCAGCATGGTTTCCAGCACGTGAGCAAAGTCCAAGGAGGCATCGAAGCGCTGCGTGCGGAGGTCGCAGCCCTCGCCGACGTCGACGTTCAAGACCAGTTGACGGTTGGCGAGTGGAATGACGTGGACGATCCCAGCTCCCTCAAGGCCAAAGCGAAAAAGCTCCTGCTCGGGAAACTTCCTACGCTCACGCAGCGGTTCCGTGGAGCCATCAAACCATTTGTAAAGAAACCCCAAAGCACGTCGTCGGCCGACGACGGAGATGGAAGCGGCAACACGACGACGCAAGGCCCCCTCGTGGACGAGGAAGAGTGGGTCGAAGTCGTCGTGAGAAGCAAAGAAGTGCTGAAACGCACGAGCAGCAGCAGCACGATCGCCCCCGTGAAGCAAGTGCTGTTTGGTCCTGGAAAGCTCGGCATTCTCTTTAAAGGAATCGACAAAAGCCCCATCACAGTTGACAGCGTCGTGCCGAAAGGACAAGCCGATCTCACCAACCAAGTTGAACGCGGCGACGTCCTCATCGCGATCGCTGGGCAGAGTGTCCGTGGCATGAAGTTTCATCAAGTGATGGATCTGCTCCACGCCGCAGCTCGCCCGATGACGCTAGAGTTCTCGCATCCGTCGACTCGCCATCTTGACGTTCTCGACGCGCTCTCGCTTCCACCTCACGCGCCGACCATGCTTCGCAACGGTCCGTACTCCATCAGTCTCCTCTGGGACAGTGTCGCGGGGGCGAGTCGGTACCAACTGCAGTTTGCCTTGCAATCGGAACATCGATTTCATCCATGGGCAACCGTGGCCGTCAAGAATCGCACGGCTGGTGGAGTCGCACTCTTGGACCACATTGCGGCACCCGCGGAGACCGCGGGGACGTTGGTTGGGCTTGAACCGAATGAAAAGTACCTTGTTCGGCTTCGATGTGGCACAGACACCACTTGGGGCGTGTACAGCGAAGCTAGTGCCGTGTTGACCACCCTGCCCCTCGACACGCCATCACGCCAACCTCCAACACAATCTCTGAGTCCGCGAACGACGCCGTCACCGTCGTCTGTGGTGTTCCTTGCTGGAGAGTGCCCCGATGTGGTGGAGCTTGGGCTGTTTTACTACCGCGTCCTCATTGGCCTCCGCGCACGGTCCGGCCCATCGTACGAGGCGCCGACGGTGGAAGTCGCTCTGGACAAAGGATCACTGATCAAGTGTGAGGAAAAGGTCACGCGGGGTCCGTATGTGTTTGTGCGGCTGCAAGACACCGAGTTGTGGGCATTTGAGACGACCGTCGACAACGCGGCCGTGCTCGAACGATTGGCATTCGAAGACAAGCCCGAAGGAGCAGTGAAACTCGTGGACAAGGCCGTGGCATCGACAACGTCTCATCCTCAACCACCACCATCGCCCCAGCCACCGTCGTTGGTCGCTCCAAGTGGACTTGACGTCCACGCCCCCACCATGACGTCGCTTGTGGTGTCGTGGGAAGCGCTTCTGGACCCGTTTGTCGTCAAGTACCAGCTCCAGTACTCGAAGAATTCTTTTGGGGCCATGTGGGCGACGAAAGATGTGTCGGGCCAGCTCAATTCGTGTGTATTGGCGCACCTGAGCCCTGGAACTTCGTATGTGGTACGCATTCGAGCTGGGTACGAGTCGGCGTGGGGTCCATTTTCAGCAAAATCGGAGACCGTCAAGACATTGGAGGACGATCAGCCGACTAAGGCGTCGTCGAATCCCAAGTTCTTCAACGCGTTTGTCGAACGGGCAGCCGAAACAGCGGCGGTGGCGGCGCGAACAGTCTCGGCGCGGCTGACCCGGACAGTAAGCCAAGACAACATGGACGACGCCGCCATGACCAAGGACATGATGGACCTGCCGTCGTTGGTCGTCAACGTGGACGAAATGAAGGCTGCATCGAAAGAGTTCAGGTGGTTTGCCGCCAAAAAGGTCTCGGGCGACGTGGAATGGACATGCGATCTCGTTGTGTCGCATGGTAACACATCAGTGGTGGGATGGTTCACCTGAATAAAACGTTTCCTGCAGGATACGTGATGGCCATCTGCCCTGACGCCGACCGTCCTGGCTGGGGCCGCGTCGAAGACAAGCGGCAGCTCAAGCTTCTGTCCAAGATCACATCCAAACGCGGAGTCCAGACGTCGGTCGTGTTTCACTTTAAGGTACACCTTGCAACAGCAGTCGAATGCACATGGTGGCGGTGCTGTCGAATGCTTCGTAGAAAGTGGAAGGCAGCGACGACCAAGACATGGAGACGCTGGAGTTCCTCATTCATGATCGTCAAGGATGCCTGCAACTAGTCAAAGAACGGTTCCTGGCGATCACTGCCAAGCCTGGCGCTTCATGCACATCAACCTGACTGTCTTATTTACCTAGCTGTGGAGGTTCTTGCAAGACGAGACTTTCTTCGATGATGTCGGGTTCTACTCGGACGCTTTTTGGTGCCTGCAATGCAGTGTAGCTATCAGGCGAGCTCGTTTACGGTCGATAGCCAAGTAAATGTACTGATCATGTGCGACCCCTTGATCGTGTCCAGGTTGGAGTGCAATGTTACCCGGAGGCCATAACCACCAACAAGCGCCGTCCGTCCCAATTTGCTAAGGATGGTGGCAGCAGCAAGATGCAGACTAGCGTTGCTCCCCGTGAGCGGTGACTTGTTAACGAGCATTTTGACAGGCAAGTCACGATGCTGGCGCACGCAAACGGCAGGTTTCTCACGAAAGGTGACGGGTGGCCAATTCAACACGTAGTGCCGCCGGCATGAACGCAACCGTCGTGCGCCCAGTGCATTGCCACTTCATAGTTTGACATCGTGTGTAAGAAATTTCTCTCCGCATTTTGTTGGCAATGGAAGGTCATTGTGAAAATGTCAAACGTTAGCATAATTTCTGGCCTATTGATATTTCATCCAATTTAACACAATCGGATTGGTTGATTTTGAACACTTAAGCACCACTGATTTGTCCAAAACAGGTTGGTCAAGGATTTTTATCCAATTACATTGCATCAACTGACGCAACGTCAATGCTCACTCGCACTCTTCTGCAAGCGTGAATGACCACAATTGGCGGGATCCCAGTGACCACCGTTGGTGCCGTCGCGGTTGGCACAGCGCTCGTGTACACGGGCATCAAGGTTGTTCGCGGCAAGCTATATGACTTTGTCATTGTGGGACTCACCACGGGGTGGTATCGCGAAGTGCTGGAACTTCTCAGCCCCAAGGCCCGAATGCTAGACGTTGGTATCGGCACAGGCATGGCCCTTCTTCACAACAAGGCACTCGTGGAGTCGAAGAACCTCTTTGTGGACGGCGTGGATTATGACAAAGACTACATCACCGACTGCAAGAAGAACGTGAGTGCCCATGGCCTAGATGACTCGATCCACGTCCACCATGCTTCCATCTATGATTACACGTCGTCCACACCGTACGATGCTGTATACTTCAGCGGATCGCTTATGATCATGCCGGACCCTGTGAAAGCGCTAAGCCACACGGCAAGCCTGTTGACGTCGACCGGTCGAATCTACGTGACTCAGACGATTCAAACCCAAAAATCTTGGCTCATGGAGGTTGGGAAGCCTTTGCTGAAGTTCCTCACGACCGTCGATTTTGGGAACGTCACGTACGAAGACGACTTCGAGCGCACTGTAACTGCGGCGGGTCTTTGCATCGTTGTCAACCAAGCGATCTCGGGGTCGACCAAGGAATCCGTGCGCTCGTCTCGGTTGTTTGTGCTCGAAAAAAGTACTAAATAGATCACCAAGTTGCATGGTTTGCAACACCCAAACGACCTTGTGCGCTGTGTCCACTGCGGCTACGCTGGGGTTTGAACATTTTTCCGCCTCGCAACTCGTGGAATGCCAGCAGTGGCTAAATTCAAGTCTTCCGGTGCTCTCAGTTGCTTTGATCCAGCACCCTCGTTCTTGACGTCAATCTCAAACTTTGCTTTGCATGAACCGTTTGAATTGATTTCACTGGGTTCGACTAGCAGGGACTGTACCACCGACTCAATGGTTGGCTGTCTCACACCTATTAGATCTTCGCTTTGGCCAAAGGACCATGGACTTGCACGAAAGGTATTTCTAGCAACTCTCGTCAACTTCATCAATGTCATGATTGATGTTTTGAAATTTTCCTCCCTCCACGAACGAGCACCATGTACATGCCCCAGCACCATGGGAAGGTGTTTTACATGGTAAAAACACTCTTCGAACCGTCTCTAAAGAGTTTTTAATCGAAGTACATGGATGGGCTCGACATCGCCCTAAGTTTCAACATGGGGCTGGCTGAAGGTCGACCTTGAAATTTCCTCCAGCACTTATTGATATTTTCCAATTCGCAAAATCTCTTAAGCCAATCAAGACGCTAGCGATTTATCGTCGAATTCTTTTCAGCCAATTAAATGGCGATCCCATTATATTAATGAAAGGGACACTACATATTGGCAAGGCATTCCGTCAGTTTGAGAATTTTTTATGACAACGGAGGAACGTTATCCGTATGCTTCGTATATCCGGATTCGTCTTGGCGGGAGAACAAAGATGGCATCGGCGGTGGTGGAATACATTCAAGAAGCGCTGGATAGGAACGAAGCGCCGCACTTGGTGCGAGTCTGCCGGGCCACGGGATGCTCCTTAAAAGATGGCCAAGAAGCTTTGGCACAGGTTATCGCCCAAGAAACGGATGTGCAGTCCGTGCAAGTCGTGGTATCCACGGAAATCGACCCAGAAACAAATGCAATCGCGGGAAAAACTATCTCATTGATCCGTGGTGAACCTGACGATGCTACGGATTTGTATGCAGTCTACCGGTCGGCAGCTCTCTCCACTCGGGATGTGGACGATGCGCTGAAGAACATAATGTGGTTCCCTCGCTTGGACGAAGGCCTTGGGAGTAATGGGACATACGGCGCAATCGCGTCCGATATCACGTGCGATGAAGCTTTGGGTTCGCGGAATCTTGTCATGGTAGCAGCGGAGTCGGCTTCAGTCTTCTCCAACTTTAAGGCCATCAACACTACAAAGACCACCACGCCGTTCTTTCAAAGGCAGTCGTCTTCGAGCTCGTCCAAGCCTCCTCCCAAGAAGCAAACACCTTCATTTTTTGGCACGACTTCCGCCAAGACTGAAAGCAAGCAGCAGGCTGCTCCACCGTCGAAGAATAAGGCCAACGTGGTCGACGACAGCGACGAAGATGTAAGCGACGACGACGACGAAACCCCAAAATTTGTCAAAAAATCAACGCACCATAAGCGACTTCGTGTGTGTGACGACAGCGATGACGACGACGAAGCGGAGTTCTTTCCGACCCCAAAGCCGTCGCATCCAGTGAAAAAGGATGACAAACCCGTCAATTGCCCACCGCATCCCACGACTGCACCAACCACAAGTGCTGGAGAAGATCGTCCAACCCCGCCAGCTCTCCCTCGATCGCAACCTGTGGCGGTCGAGAAAGAAGAAGCAACGGCCCATCGCCCTCAGAAGCGACAAAAAGCAGTGACGAAAACTCATATCAACGAGGACGGGTATATGGTCACCGAAACCATATACGAAGACGTTGAAGGGGACGAACACCCGACGTCCCAGACAAAAGCCGCGTCGTCGTCTGGGAAACTGCCAGCACCGCCTCCAAAGAAGAAGCGTGTCCTGAAAGGATCTGGCACGGCAAAGCAGAGCAATCTCATGGACTTCTTTGGAAAAAAGTCAGTGTAACCAAAAAACGTGGTTGTGCCAAGTGCCCAACATGCCATGGCTGAATGGGATACAAAGTCGGTGATGGAAGTATCGAGCAACACTCAGGGTTGAGGACCGGCACGCGGTGGTCCACTATCCACAAACACGGGGGTGGTAGAAGCGCGCATGTCCCCACGAAACCCAGTTCACAGTTGCTATTCCTGCTGCCACAAGACTGAAGATGCTCTTCAAATGTGTACAAGTTGGCACTGCATGGATGTGTGGTCCGGTTGTCGTCGATGGTCCGAACAGTTCAAGTCGAGACTAGTGAAAGCAGAAGCTTCGTGAAAAGCATGCGCTTTGCGACACGAAATATGGTGCTGCATCTACGCATTGAGCACTTCGGAAGAAATGTCATGCAGTCACTTGTGTGCACTTCAAGCATTGTAACGTTGCACAATCTTCACACTCTGAGCAAGCAGTGGACACAGCGCAGCGATGGATTTGACAACATGGTGGAGTCTATTTGTCCTTTATTTCGTTTTATTTCGTGGCCTTTTCGAGCACGAACAACCGAAACGAGCGCACGGATTCCTTGGTCGACCCCGAGATCGCTTGGTTGACAATGATGCAAAGACCCGCCGCAGCTACAGTGCGCTCGAAGTCGTCTTCGTACGTGACGTTCCCAAAATCGACGGTCGTGAGGAACTTCAGCAAAGGCTTCCCAACCTCCATGAGCCAAGATTTTTGGGTTTGAATCGTCTGAGTCACGTAGATTCGACCGGTCGACGTCAACAGGCTTGCCGTGTGGCTTAGCGCTTTCACAGGGTCCGGCATGATCATAAGCGATGCACTAAAGTACACGGCATCGTACGGTGTGGACGACGTGTAATCATAGATGGAAGCATGGTGGACGTGGATCGAGTCGGCTAGGCCATGGGCACTCACGTTCTTCTTGCAGTCAGTGATGTAGTCCTTGTCATAATCCACGCCGTCCACAAAGAGGTTCTTCGACTCCACGAGTGCCTTGTTGTGGAGAAGGGCCATGCCTGTGCCGATACCAACGTCTAGCATTCGGGCCTTGGGGCTGAGGAGTTCCAGCACTTCGCGATACCACCCCGTGGAGAGCCCCACAAAGACAAAGTCATATAGCTTGCCGCGAACAACCTTGATGCCCGTGTACACGAGCGCTGTGCCAACCGCGACGGCACCAACGGTGGTCACTGGGATCCCGCCAATTGAGGTCATTCACGCTTGCAGAAGAGTGCGAGTGAGCATTGACGTTGCGTCAGTTGATGCAATGTAATTGGACAATAATCCTTAACTCATATATTTTGGACAAATCAGTGGTGCTTAATTGTTCAAAGCAAACCAATCAAGTCGTGGGAACTTGCAATGACTCAATGGTTGATAGCAGAATTTATCCGGTTCCGGAAAGTGTGGTAGCCTATTTAAATGTTGAATTGTGAAAACAATTAGTCCAATTTTAATTTGAAATGCATTTAAAATCCTTGAATCCGCTGAATTGGTCACATGGACTTCACTTGTGGAACATGTTCACCGTTCGAGGCGCCACCCACCGGCGGTTCATCAGCCAGCAGGCCTTGACGCTGCGCGACACTGTGAGGTATGTAGCTCTTGTAATGTTGCAGCGTATGAGTGACCCTTTGGGTCGAGTAATGTGGACCATGCATGTGTAGGAAGCTGGACTACGACAACTTTCTCTGTGGCCTTTTGTTGCCGTCTGCATCTCGCGATGCCTTCTACGCGATTGTACGTCAATGGTGGCGCATCTTTTTAATGTTCGCTCACGATGCCACCCTCTGTAGCGTGCATTCAACATTGAGATTGCTCGCATCAAGGATTCTTCTCGCACAAATCCTGGCGCTGGAAAGATCCGCATTCAGTGGTGGCGCCAACGTCTCCACGACCTCTTCGACAGCCGCAAGCCTGCCCCAACGGACCATGTGGTACTTGCGGAATTGCACAGTGCCATCCACAGGCATCAGCTTACCCAGCGGTGGTTGGATCGCATCTTGGAAGCACGGGTACTTCGATTGCTCAACTCGTTAAGTCATCTCCAACGACATAGCTTGCAGGAACTGGATCTCGAAGTGGAGAACCCGTCGACGGTCCGAGACTTGGACATCTACGCCGAAAAGACTGCTGCATCGATGCTTCATCTCGCGCTGGAGTGCCTTGATGTCCGCGACGACACCGCGGACATTGCCGCGAGGTGTGTTTTGAAACCTCTCTCTTGCGTCGCTGACTCCACATCGCCAGACATGCCGGCATTGCCGTCGGTATCACGACGCTCCTGCGTGGTACGACGTTCCACGCGAGTCAGAAATGCGTGTACTTGCCCCAGGATATCCTGACGAAAGTACGATCATGCCGTGAACTCTATTAATTCCGCTGCAACTTTCCACGCGATTCAAGTTGGTGCTGAATAGCATCAAGTGGCAATCGAAGACGTTCTCGCCGCAGCCTGCGGTGACTCCATCGACGATGCCGCGTATTCAAGGATTGCGCCCGTGACATTTGACGTGGCCTGCCACGCCCTCGATCAAATGCGACAAGCGCAAGCGATGCAGTCTCAGCTTCCCCGCGCTGCTATCCCTGCCTTCTACACCACGGTAATGATGGCCAGGTTGGGTGTTTTTCCTGAGTTGTCATCATCGCTTGTGTGCTAGATTTCGTCGCAGCGCTTCCTCGCTCGCCTGGAAAAGTACCGGTTCAACTTGATGCATCCCGAAATGCATGACGCCCGGCCACACGGGCTGCAGTGGGCGTTGTTCAAGCACTCGTTGTTCCGATCGTTTTAACAACACATTTACTCCTCTCCGTGGTTCAACCATTTCAAGGGGAACCGCTGACAACTCAAAAATCATAACATTTGACGACTCGTTTCGAACGCTTTGTGTTATCCACAACACATCCACGTGATATTCGATAACAGCAAGTCTCATTGCTGTTTCCGGGACTTCTTGGGGCCATCAGGAGCGCCACCGTGGGACGACGACGGGGGGGGCGGCGACGCCGATCGCTTGTGCCTATGGTGATGGCCGTCCCCAAGCTGTCCATTGCTCGACGACGAGGTGCTGACGTGCTTTCGCTTCTCCATTGCGACCAGTTGGCCTTGCAGTTGTTCTCGCTTCAATTTCACTCGGTTTTCAAACTCAAACCCGCTCTTGAAGTAGTCCAACCTGGACGGAGCTGCTATGTGCAGTAGTTCTTCTTCTATCGCGGACGCCTGAAACCCAGGCATCAGCGTCGGGGAATGACCATTTCAGAAAATCCTACCGCATGAAGCAGCTCCTCGTAAGTCTTGCATGTGCTAGTGTATGCATCAAGGATCTTGGAGCGCACGGCTTGGCGCTCTTCGATTGTCAAGTACATTCGCCAGTCAGGCGAAAATGTAGGTACAGGGGAAGAGGCAGCAGACGAGTTCGTGCTTCCAACACCAAGAGGTCCAGTTGGTCGCATCATGCTAGTACTTCCGGGCGTGGGGAGCATGATGGGAACGGACGTGGACACCCGTGTGCTGTGTGGATTAGGAGAATGAGATGCCTATGGATCATTTGTGCGAGATCGTACGTGAGGGGTTGACGAATATAAGCCGAAGAAGATGTGACAGCACGCTGAATCGTAGGGGGATTCGACGTGATCGAGTTGTTGTTTGTCGACGACGCCGCACCAGAGCTGTGCTGGGGGATGCTGTATCGGTCGTGTTGTTGCTGCTGCGGAGGCGCGAGGTACGAGTGCTGCATCGACGGATGCGATGACGACGACGATGACCCATGACAATGAGGATCGTGTCTGTGCATTGGGAGTGCAGACGGCATAGTGGAGCGGTCTGTGTTGTTATTTCCATTGGCCAATGCACTGAGCGACGCTGCAGCACTCATGTTCATGTGGGACGACGTGTTGATGTTCAAGGACGAGGAGGACGCAGACGTTGAACCACCTCCATTGCTGTTGCTGTTAGACGCTCCTCCCGAGAGGTTTCTCTTCAACGATGGGATTTGGATGTGGTTCTGCATATGACTCATTTCGCTGATGTCCGCGCTGATGCCGCCCTGTTCCACGGCTATCGCACAGCCGGCAGTTCCCCCTTCGGATAACACAAGGTATCCGGATATCGCCGTATCGCGAACGTTCGTCGAAAGTGCTCCAGTTTGAATTTTACAACAAAATCTTGCAATGCAGTGATACTTTTAAGCAATGCGGATATAGTTGTAGCCAATGTCCCGTCTTGGTTGCGTCGCGTGGGTATGCTCGTGCTGTTGCGCCTTCAGCATGTGGGGTTAGCGCGGCACATCGAGGGGGATCAAGGGGAAGATGGACAAGTCTATGCGTTGAATAAGCACACCGTGGCACTGTCGCTGAAATCGTTCAGGAACGAACGTTCGAGTCGCCGCTCCAATGCATCAACCCGAGCACTTGAAAGGTCAAGCTTCTTTCCGCTCAATTGCCCCACTGTCACTTCGTACGTCAGTGGGTTGATGACATCAGTCGAAGTTGCTTGGTTAGGTTTCTTGAACTTTGATCGTTTCGGTCGTGCCTTTGCGGTGTGTCGCTTTTGGCGCTCCAATTCTCGTCGTGCGAAATACTCTGCCCATTCTTGATTGAGCTCGAAGCCATATTCATATTCGCTGCTCTCGTAGCCGCCATTGCTGGGTGTAGCGAAGTCGATGTCGGTGACGTTGTCTTGGGGCGTCGGGAAAGCATGTCGCGCAGGGTGGGTTGCGAGTTGTTCACTGCTGGACAGAACCGAAGCACGGGGGTGCTGATGTACGGCGCCAATTCGAAAGGATGGTGTGAGCCACTGCGTTGAGTGCTGCGGGATCTTATCCCATGCTTCGCAGAACGGGTACGGCGGTGGGATGCCAAGGTTGGTCGGGACTGGGGTCATCGAACAGGATTTGTCTCCCAACATGGGTAATCTTATCCGGACAAAGATGAAACTGAGCCAATGAAATGCCACTTCTGCATGGAATGGCGCCAATTGTTTTTCACACTTTTTTCAATATTCGCAAATATACACTTTAATAGTAGTTTTTGAATGGAATACGAGGTGTTCATGTTAAGCATTTTTGAATTATTATATGATACAGGTTCGCATTTCCGGATAGTTCATGTGGTCGTCGAATGCACCAACCATTGCACAACGAATCGCATCAACTGCAGCGTAGACGCCATGAGCAAGCGGCAACTGGGCGAGATCAACGATGAGAGCATGGGCGAGTCCGAGGAAGGTTCGGGCGACGAAGAAGACATTGTGCTCAAATCCAATGGCGACCAGAAGGAAACCGTAGACATTGACTTTGTCTTCACGGATCCATGCGAGGAAAACTTCCACAGCGTCAAGCAACTGATCAGTACTAACTTTCTCCCACCGACAGCGCTGGACACATCCAACTTGGCTAATATTATTGTTAGCCAAGTTAGCATTGGGTCTATGGTCTGCTGTGAAGGAGAAACGGACGTATTTGGGTTCATTACGGCGCTTAGCCTGAAGAGGTATGCGAACGAGCCGTCCATTCGACAAATCGAGTCCCTCGTCCTCGACAAATGTCCCAAGGACCTCAAGTCGCGTCTTACATCGATCTTGTCGACCAAGACCGTTGGTCTTGTCATGAATCGGCGCATGATCAACTTGCCATACCAGTTGGTCCCGCACTTGCACAGCGCGTTGCAGCAGGACATCGACTGGGCCATCGAAAACACAGAAGACCCTGCAATGAAGTCTTCGTTCAAGTTTGACTACTTCTTGATTCTCGCTGGTGTGCAAGTCGATATTTCGTCTTTGAAGAAGCCTGCTGGTAAGAAGGCAAAAGGCTCATACCCCGACCCAGCAGTCAAGTCGTTTGACAACTTTGAGGAAGAGTTCCTTGAAGCGGTACGATCTTTTCTTTGTCTTCCCATCCCACGTGATGACATCGATGTTTGTAGCAAGCCGACCTCCACTTTACCGTTCCCACCGAGAACGTGCTCAAAGAAGGCTCTGGTTTCAGCACGGAACTGTCCGTCATGCTCGTGTCGAGGCAAAAACACCAAGAAACGATCGTTAGTATGTCGCAGATGCTCGCCGCGTAAGTCGAAGTCGTTTATAATATTAGCCACACGCACACCAATTCACTCGACTACATCTTCCATCATCGCTGTCATTCGCCCAAGGGTACTTCGCAACACCTTGAGTTCTGCTGCTTCCGACGGACTCAGAAAGCGATTGCATGTGTGGACTTCCTCTTGTGTACTCTTGTTCTGGATTCCGCTCTCCCTGGAACTCCTGCCCACAAAATAGTCAGATACGATCATCCTACGTCCAATCGCTCACCCATTCTTCCACGTCGTGGCGTTGGCGCGGTGTGGCGACGGAGGGGCTTCCGGCCACTTCGCACCTTCATTTGAAGCGAATTTCGTTTGAGCGCGCACCCTGATTGCTGCGTCGGCTCCATACTGCGGGGGACTTGCAGCTGCCTTCACGCGGGTCAAGAGGTCTGCTGACACTGCAGCTTCTAGCTTGGCCAGCGGCGATGGTTTCGTGTCCCCAGAATGGCATGGGATGGCGATGGGACGATCCGCAATGTGTGGTGTCTTGATGGAGAGCGAAGTTGATGCACTGGAAGCTATTCGAGCTATGCTCTAGATGATCGTCGTGTTGATTCAACGGCTCTGCATGCATGATCACTTGGAGTAACTTGCCTGGGACCTTTCGGACTCGATGGCAGCAGTGAGTTGGCGGGTCATCTCCAAGACGTTGCTGCAAAACAAGGTCTCGAGATCGGTCAGTTGCTTTGCCATGGCCTAGATGATGTTGGCAAATTAATGACGACAGACGGTGAGCATGGAGTACCATTTGAAGTTGGAGGACTTTGGCGTTCAATGCTGCGTCTTCGACCCGTTTCACATCTCGCAGTTCATCTATGTCTAGTGTGTTCAAGTCGCAAGCGACGCGATCGAGGTTGATGGGGGCGACCGCCTTTGCACACAGTTTCCGCAGTCGCGCGGTGCACATTCCCAAGTTGCGCATGTCGAAGTCAACCTCATCTGTCGAGTCTTCCTCGTCAGATGACGTGAAGTTGGTGTATGCGGCTAAGCAACGTGATGACCTTGTCCTCGTGCTCACGTCCACACTTCGTGGATTGTTTTGCGGCTGCGATGACGGTCGACGGCGGTGGGTGCCCAGGAAAATGGCGCGAATGCGGCGGAGTTTAGTACTTGGGTAGTCCCCGGTACCTTCAATGCCGAAGATGTCGTCCTCGCTGCTCCCGCTATCTTCACTGGACTTGCACATGCTGATCGAGGCGTCTTTGAAAGGTCGCACGAACACATTATCCGGATGTCCGAGTTAAGTCGACCGCTAAACTTCATTTGTGTGGGATCGACTTTGAGAATTGATGTATAGCTAGCTATCCAACTTGCTCCCTGCGCTACTATACGACGTGAGTGATGAAGACGTCAGGAGTTATGTGAGCTGGAAGCGAGATTCGTTAGTTCTTTCAGGCCATTGACGTAGAAGGGAACAAGATGAAGCAGGTCGTTGTGTCGACCTCCCTAACCCAGGCTTAGCGTGAGCTGCTGAGCTTGCACAACGACAAGACAGGCCACAGGCACGTGGATGCACTCCCCCCCCGCGTAGCTGATGCAAACATGTGCATGTTCCCGTGCTATCCAGTTGTGCTTTGGTCAACTAAGCCAGCCGCCGGCATGGGAGCTGGGAAGTTAAATTTCTCACAATTCCATCGAAAGTTGGCCAATAATGGCAAATAAAGAGATGAAATTTCAATAAAAATTGCGAATCCATTCTTGTTGAAGAGTTGTTATCCGGACAAAAGGTATACGTGTCACAATCCCAGCGACAGCCGCGGTGTCGGCGATAACAGGATATGGGGAAGCGGAAATCGGTGAAGCAAAGGCGGAAAGGGAAGAATGCAGCGGACGTCAACAGCCTTCACAAGGTAGAAGCGGCGAGGAAAGGGACCACGCCGTCAACGAAGCAGTTGCAATCAACGAAACGTGATGACTCGTGGATTGTGTATGCAATTTTGGTTGGTGCTGCCGCTGTGTGCGCATCGCTCGACCTCGTGACAAGGCTGGTCGCAGATGAGTACATCTCGAAATGGTGCAAGTGGTTCTTCATCGTTCTCGTGTGCATCAACATCCGCACCCACGCCCAACTTGGAACGAAACCCTTGCCACTTCGTGCCGTCATGTACATCCTGTGCAACTTTGCCGGCGCAACCACAATATGCATTGTGCGTGAGGAAGTTCCTGCGTACCTACGAAGTGCTCAACCTTGGATCAACGTCGCGGCCGCAGCGATCTTGGTGGAAGGTTTCATAAGCAACAGCTCCGTTGGAAAAGTTCGTTGCATGTGGCTTCGAGGGCTTTGCGCTGTGCCTGTATCTTTGTGGAAGACGAAGACACTCGGGCAACTCATTCACAACTGCTACGTCACATCCACAGCGCTCCATCGAACGGTGCCGATGGTCACAGCGGACATGTCTGCCAGTGGCATCATGATCTTGTTTCTGGCGTACGTGGACTTGTGGGTCGCGGCGACTGTGCCAAAATCCACGCTCCTGCAACGACTTGTGGACATTGCACAGCATGTCATCGTGGTAAGCCTCATTGCGCTCGTGTGGAAGACCGAAGAGGCATCGCCGTCGCTGCACGAACACGCAGCGTCCGTCGCCGGAGGCCTTGTGCTCCTGTACAACCTCGTCAAGTTTTGCTGGGTCCCGCTCGAGTTTGCGGTCGCCTCTCGGCTCCTGTAGTCGTTGTGTCCACCACACACCAAGTCATCGATCAATTCCATTCTTGGCTGATTTCTCTACTTCTTTTTCTTTGCGACCTTTTTCTTCTTTGGTTTCGCCGGTCCCGTCGGCCGTTCGAACGCGGCGATTTGAAACGTGCTCCCTGCGCAACCAGACGACTACAGTCGCCTGCATGTCGATCACAGACTGACGTACCAGCAATGATGTGCTTCATGTCGTCGCGATTCTTGACTTGTGCGCGGTCTTGGATCAGCCTAAGGCGGCGGCGGTGTCCCATCGAGCTCATCGGGGATCCCATGATCCAAGGACGACACCCTGGAAAACGTACCGACTCTGATGGCGCTGCGCAGTCTCGAGATTCTTCATCGCAACCGACACGCGGGGATGGGCGAGCCCGAATCCGAGTTTGAACGCGTGGAGAACAGATCGAAAAAACATGGCCGATGCATCCACTTCCCCCATGGCATGGAGGCAGCACGCCAAGTTGTTGAGCGATGTGGCTGTGTCCACGTGTTCTTCTCCAAGCAACTATCGCCACCCATCGATGTCAGCCATCGAAATGAAGATCTTTCGATGAGCGTGCGCACCGATTCCCGCAACACGAGCGCTTTGTCAAAGCACTTGAGCGCCACGAGAAGATTCCCAGCGTAGTAGCAAACGGACCCGAGGCAATTCAACGCAAGTGCTCGCCCGGGGTGGCTCTCTGGGAGGCTGTCGGCTATAGCCAGAGCCTCTGCATACGTCTGGAGGGCGTCCAGGTCGCGCTGCCGGCTGTCGTGGATGTTGCCCCGAGCAAGCGTGAAAAAGAGGGATGCGTCGGTGTCCAGCACGCGCATCGGACTATTGAAGTCGTCGTGAATAAATATTGATTCCCAATTCGCGGCAAGTTTCTCTCGAGGTCATGGCGGCAGTACGTTCGGCTCAAATGAAGCATCGACAAGGAATGGAGGTACCTGACGTCGACGAGCTCGTCTTCGGCATCGTGCAGCTGTGCCAGTGCCATCTACCCATCGCACATTCAGACGGACGAATGACCGTGACATCTAGTTCAGCGCGACAACCGTTGGGACGGTGGATTCCAATGTACCTCGAAGTGTCCACAGTTTTGGTACGAAAATGCGCCTTCTACCTTTCTTGCGACGTTCGCGGGAAAATCGGGCACCGCCAGGACGTCTCGAATGACAATTACGTCGATAGCTGATGTCGAGGATGCATGCGTCGTGGGTTTTGTGCTGCTGCCGATGGATTTCACTCTGTTGGGAGCATCAGCAGCGTCCATCTATCGATGCACAAGCTATTAGGTACACATAGAGTCGCCGAGGGACGCGAGTAACCATGTCGGCGCGTCGCTGGAGCACGTTGCGCGTACGGACGGAGAGAGTCCCCATTTGTGTTTGGATGTCGTTGAGCATGGCGTCCAGGCTGGTTTCGACCTGTTGCTGCGGCACCTTGGACGCCGACTTGACCGTCGTCCCATTCGGCATGACTTGCATCGTGTCCAGCATGACCTTGATGCTGTGCTCGAGGCGGGCAGTGTCGATCGTCTTTCGAATCGACCCGTGTTCCTCCGAGAGAAGCTTGCCATGCAACGTCTGCGCCAGGCGGCACAGCGCCTCGATAAACTGTGGAAACATCATCGACGGCGAAGTCTTGACATCGACCGTCGTGTGCACGACAAATGTCGACGTGACAGCCGCCATGATCTAGCCAAGCCACGTCGCTACTCAGGCCAAGGATGACGAAGCTGTACCGCAGAGGAATCGTCGGCGGACAGGTAGTCTGGGCTGATGAAGTACCCCACCAAGAAGTCGTAGAATCCTTCTTCCGTCAAGAAAGCGCCATGGCAGCCTGGGTCGGCCACGGCGGTGCTGTGGTCCCTCGTCGGCGGCTGCGCTTTGCAATACATGTTAAATGACTAGGAATAGGCCATGTCAATGCATGCACGACAGAGAGCAGAGCTCGGTGACAAAAACGACAGCTTCGACCTGCTCGATCACGTTGCTGTACGCCTCCAGCACACACAAGGGCGCAGGCTTCATGAGCTTAAGTCGGAGTGGGTCGTAGATGCCGTCGACGTCAGCGAACGACTCGATTTTGGCCTTCTTTCGGAACGCATCGACGTCGGCAAGCAGCCGCGCGACCGTCCGGGGATTGGATGTGTACATGAGCTTGGCTATTTTGGTCAGCGCCGTGCCGTACTCCCGCAGGTTAAGATGCGGCTTCACGTTGCCTGGTGCAAAATACCGTGGGAATCAAGCGCCATGACATGGAGCCGAGTCGTTGCTGTACCCTTGACAACATCAAAGATGCTTTTCGCGTCGAGAACGGTGAAGGTGTGGTGCTGGAAAAAGTACAGCGGCTTCAAGAATCCAAGCAAGCTAGGCACGGCCATCAGGTCACAAACAATGGTCAGCATGGAGCGAGCGTACTCGATGCCTTCGTCGCCGTCACGAACATCGTCAAAGAGTGCCCGAATGTGGCTGGCTTCGTTCGCGGGGGCGTCCATGGCGACAGCAAGTCCGCACGCCGTTTCGGCAACGAAACCGTCGATCCAAGTAACAACCCATCAATTTCACAATGGACTGCATTGCTTCACACTGCTGCTAGCTAGTTGTGTCAATTGCGCCACGAGATGCCGTTGAGCTCCTCGACAATGTACTTGAACTCGCGCAGGTTGGGGATCGTGTAGTCGCTGTCGTGGTTGACTTCGTTTGGCGAATTTGGCACGAAGCACGTGTACGCACCGGCCGCCCTGTGCAAAACGACTCAGTTGCGACCGCCAAGGACATGTCTCCAACCTGCCCGACGAAATTGCCGCATGGGAGCCCGAGATCACCTGCCACCATGGACGAATACGTTAAGTTTCGGAGGAGGGACGGCCCGCCGGACTTACGATGGCATCTTTGGGGGCGACCCCCAACTTGTCGCAGATGTGGACGACCGGGGCGGCCATTGGAAACGTGTTGGCAGCTTCCATGACAGCATCCAAATAGTCCATCTGGGCGACGCCATTGAGCCCTTCTCGCCGCATCAACATGCACGGATACCTCGTCGACGAATTGCTGGAACTCTTCTCGTCGATGCGGTGAAGTCGGCGGAATCACGCCAAGCGACAGACCGCGCAAGCTGATATAGCTCTACCCATGCATCGCCGTCAGCGATTCAAATGCCCACGGAGAGAGAAAACAAACCAAGAACACGTTCGTGTGTTCGTTGACTTTGCGCTTCGGCAAGGCGCTGCCGCCTTTCTCTTCCGTGTCGTTACCAGCAGAGGCCACGACGTTCGTGCATGCCGCAGGTTCAGGGCGGCTGAGGACGTCCGCTGGCGAGTCTTTCGAAAGTGATTTGAGCTTCGCGCGCTGTTTGAGTGCGTTCATCTTGGCCAAATACTTGGCTCGGACACCGTCAGAACTGCTTTCGTCCTCAAATGCCAATACGTCGCCTTTTGTAGATGATTTCACGGGCGTTTTCCGTTGAATTTCTCCCACGAGTTTGTCGTGAAGTCCAGTATCGTCCTCACCTTCCTTGTCGTTCTTGTCTACATCTTCGCCTAGAATCGTCGCTCGCACTAGCATGGACAAAGTTATCGGTATGGGGCCCAGCTTTGCACGCACTGAAGGATGGCAACCCTGCTAGCGTTGTTTGAACACGTCGCCCCTGTTCAGTCTCGGACTGGGTCATGCTGTTGAGCAGTCCTCGAACATTTGACAACAGCGACCCTCGCTTCACGTCGGCCAATGGCTCGCCCAGTTTCGCAGCATCCTGGACAGGAGTCGGTGGAGGAGTAGGTGGCGCTGCCGTCGACTTGCATAGAGCTTCGTAATCAACCACAACCGCGCGGAGCTTCTGAGAGCTCACAGCGCGCTTGAGGAACGTCTTGTGGATGTTCATGCCAGCCATGGTTCAAACTCATGAACCATCATCGTTGTACTTGCAGACAAAGATCAAGTCAATACCTTCATTCCGAAACCGTTTTGATTGGCTGGTTTTTCCAAGTATGAGCCAATCGCAAGCAGCAAAAACTTGCCAATTTCCGTCCACAACAAAGATTTGATTTAGAGGTGGCATGGGGAAGAAACGCACCGCCCCGAACGAGACGACGCCAGTGATATCGGCGGTGCCGCTCGCTGTCCCTGTCAGTGAAGCTTCTTATGGCACCCTTTCGACGTACTACACTGTCCCGGAGGAGCGCAAGCCAGACTGCTTCTGGTTTGCAGTCACGAGTCCGTTCCAGTGGCTGACTTGGAAGATGGCGATGTTTCACACTGCCAACTTGCTCCTGTCGGTCGTTGCTTTTGGTGTCATTTCGTTTTGTCTCTCGCTGGGGCTGGCGCTATTGCCTCTATGCTGCATCGGCGTCGTCGTGTTCAAGTTCCTCATGTACCTCGTCTACTTCATCGCTCAGGCGGACGCGTTGTTGTACAACGTGATTGCTCCGACCCATCAGCACATTTCGGTCGGGTTTTCCTGTCCTCGCGGTGGATTCGCGTATGAAGGCATCCGTGTGACGCCGGCATTGACCACGTTTTCGCGTGACGGGCTCGTTGCGATCATGTACTACCTCTTGGTCAAGTTTCCTTTGGCCATCTTGTTTAGCGGGTCGCTGCTTATGCTTTTCTCTGTGGCTATTTCCTTCATCTCGTTCCCGTGGACGTTTCCGGCGCAATGGGACTTCGATGGAGCCGATTTTCAACTCCTGGGCCGACCCATCACTGAAGACGACGCCCCGTATATGCTTGTCGTGGGTGTGCTGTTTCTATATCTCGCCATCTTCGTTCTGCACATGTGCGCGCGCATCGTCCAATCCATCACCAGATTCTGCACGTGCGAGTACTTCAGTGTTTTCGGGTACGCGCACTCAAACCGCGGCTTCAGCTCTGGCCAGCCCATTCAGGGCCAGCATACTTTGTACGTGCAGATTTAGCTCTCGACGAGTGCATGACACAATGTCTTGGCGCAATAAGCAGTGTCATTCTCATAAATAATGTTGAATTTTGACACTGTATTTTCAGCCCATTTGCAAAATTTTCTTCCAGGTTTTGAGTCTTTTCTGTATCATTTTGAAACAACGCAAAAATATCTGACATCTTCAACCAATGGAAAATCCGCCATAAATGAATTTTCAATTCGAAGTTCGGGAGAGACCGACCAATCAGAGGTGGGGATCAGTCCTCTCGAGCCGTCAGTGAATAAGAACTCGTGCCACAACTCCCGCGCTGAACGACTCGGCCGACGACTTGAATCAATGAGCTCGACGATGCGCAACCGCTTCGTCAACGAAGGCAAGCAAGGTACGACTGAGGTGCAAAACGTGGCGCTGGGACCCAAGGTATACGATGGCGAGCGCTATGGAAAGATGTCGGAGCGTCTGAAGCGACAGAAGATCGAAATCAAAGTGAACGATCGTGTACGTTGCTCACCGTCGACATTCACGTTTCCCCATCGCTCATAATCGATCACGTGTAGAACCCTCGATTCTATGGCTTCATCGCTGGCTTTGTTTTCCTCATTTTGATCTTCTTGTGGGTCCAAATCTCTGGGGCCATGCGGAGTCGCCGTGTCGCGAACTGAACCAACGCAATGAAGACAAACTTTTCGCCACGGTACTTGCATTCTTCAAAACGCTAAGTTAATTGCATTTTTCAAAACGTTACTGCGACTTCAAAATTACTATGGTACAAGACGGGCAAGACAGCTGCACGTTTATGCTTGGGGGGAAAATTGGAACCTCAGAGACGAATTGGAAGCCTCGGACGTCGTGGGGGACGAGGGAATCGACGATGTACGGGCCTCACTAGTTCCCGTAGTCGCGATATCAGTGTCCGACGAAACCTTGGACTTCTTTTGGCGCGTACTGCGGACGCTGGCAAAGGAGGACGTGATACGGTCCCAGCACAATCGTGCGTAGGTTTTCGGTAGTCGGTTCAGTTCGTTCGCCAAAGTACTCATCATGTTGGGGTGGTGTACAATGTTAGCAAGAGTCTTGGGCTTTGTCCTCGGCTTGATATCATCGTCACAAGCCCCGACAAAATTGCCATTGTCCTCTGAGGGTGCACGGGCGTATTCTGGCGGCTCCGATCGGCTAGGTGTACGAGACTGTGGTGGATCGTGTGCTCGAACATCCTCGGGAGCCGAAATACGTCTGGACGACCCTTGCTCACTGCGAGAAGTTACACGGCGGTTCCGCGAGTACCCATCGGCAAGTTCTTCCACCGTGAAGGTGGGAGCACTTCGTCGCAGTAAGACAGGCATGTCGAAGGGGTGGAGGGAGGTAGAGCTGGAGTTGGAGGGGTCGATAGGACGAGGAGCACAAGCACACACTAATGTTTGTCCTGTGAGCACGCGCAGAAGTCAACGGACGCAGAATCGTAGAATGAACGCGGCCGAGTCACGCTGTATCTTGGTCGCCCAGGCGTTGAAGAAAATACTTCGATTCGCAGAGGAAATTACGTTCGACTTGAAATTTAAATAATATATACATTTCCTGAATGATTCTACACCACATGCAAAAAATATTTGGTGTCTATTTTATTTCTCAGCCGAATAAACGCGTCCCATTTGACGCAGAAAAGATGTCTTCTTTTGTGAACGTAGTATGATATCAACCCTCTTTGCTGTTGCGTTTGGACTTCTTTTGTGAAAACGAAGTCGCCAACGACCGCTCCAGATTTACGTTACTTGTCTGAGAAACACGCGTGGCTGCATCGTGAACGATCAAATTACCACGCACTTTCGGTCACGAGTTCTCGAAGACAATGCCCCGAGTCTAATGCGAGAGGGTGCGCTTGGGAGGGTACGAGACATGCTCAGACGACTCCACAGTGGACGCGCCAGTTCGTGTTCACCAAATCGTAAGGCCTCGAGGGACGTCGATTAACTGGATTGCAAATCGAAGTTCGTAGTTCCAGTACCTCGCCGGGCACGATTTGGGTGCGATCACCGGGACGGAAAATTTTCACGAATTGCGATAGTGAAAATTTCATTTGCGTGAACGTCGCAGGTTTGCACGACGCCAGGCGGTGAAAAATGGAAGGAATCTATTGGGTTTCTCGTCGCGTCCTCTCATCGCGGGCACGGGTTAAGTGGATTAAACCAGGCGATAATACTGGGCTGGACTTTTCCGCCGCCAACGCATCCACTGGACAGTGAGGAGAGAGAGTAAACGAAGTGTCCTTTGTGGTCGCTTTTTGTCCATTGTGGTCTTCAATTGTTAAACAATAGAATTACTTGATGCTCGTATGGATTATAAAAAACGGAAAATTTTGGGAGAAGATTCCACTCAGCCAATCAAACCTGGTGGTGGGAAAATCAGGCCGTCATGCACTCAACAGTCCTCGCAGCAACTCCAGCGGCCGAGACTACCATGTCCGCGCCTCCGTTCCCACGCCCCAACTTCTCGACGGCTGTTCCCAAGAGTGCACGTACGGCTACACCGCGTTAGAATCCTCTGTCCCATCGTCTTATGTGCACATTTGATTGTGTAGTGTTCTCAAAGCTGGAGGCCTTCCTGCCACAAATTGAACGCGAGAACAAGTCGCTTGCGAAAGCAATCTCCGATGGCGAAGCGGACAAGTTTAACATTGAGGTCGACGAGACTGACACTGAAAAGCCAGTCATTCAAATGGTGTGTGGTAACCCCTGCTCGACTTGTATTGAATTGGTCGTGTCTGACGAGAGTATTTCGCCATCAGGATTTCGCCTTGGGAGTTATGGGCGACAAGGACGACGACGACAGCGGCAGTGAAGAAGACATTCCCCAGGACATTCAATTCAAGGTGCAAAGCCCCAACACGTCCATTCGCCTGACGCCGCCATCCTCTGTCCAGTCGCGTCCGTTGATTCAAGAGCTAAATTAATTGATTTCACACGTCCATCCCAGTCTGTCCCAACGTTGGTCATGCGCTCGTCGTTCAGCAGAGCCTGCACCGTGATGTCTGCAGGTTCCCCATCCATCAAATGCCCGCTCGCATCTGTCGACGTGCTCGGATGGCATGCTTGCCTGTCTTGCAAACAGTTTCATGGAAATCCAGTGAAAAACCGAAATACCCGGGATTTGATTTGAATACCCACCTATCATTCGGATTTCGCACCAAATATCCGGACGGTGTTCAATGGTAACATGAAACGGCGCGCGTATGGAAACTGCTCTTGTGCACGTGACGCGGTACTGGCGATGCACTTCACGCGCAAGTCCGTGTCCGGGGAAGCCGAAAAGGTCGATGTTGTGGCTCTCCAGCAACGAGACTTGGCTGACACGCCTGTGTTCCAATACGTCATGACCAACAACGCGGTGGAATTGATGAAGTACCTCGTACACAACGACAGCCAGCTCAACTCTCGCGACAGCGTCGGCGCCACGCCGCTCCTGATTGCATTTTTGTATATGAACTTTGACTTGGGCAAGCAAGTCATACAAGCATACCCCGGTAGGTGTGACTACCTTTAGCCGTCTTCGATGAACCATGCAATGTCCCAGTGTCCAAGGGTTTTCCGTATGCGCTGGCGTCGTATGACGCTCACGATGCCAGCCACCCATCGCCATACCAGGGCGAAAACATTCTGCACATTTCCATCGTCCATCGAAAGCTAGACATCGTGAAATGGCTTGTGGAACACCTGCCCGACCTTCTCGTTCGTCTCATTCGACTCCTCCCGTGCACCTGACAGCTCTGATTAGGACGCCGAGACCACAGGCGTGTTCTTCTCGCCCGGCCACGCGTGTTATTTTGGCGGGACACCGCTTCTATTCGCGCTGTCGTCGCGGCAGTTGGATGCCGCGGCATGCATTCTCCAAGCCGCCGACCGTGCTCCGCCGACATCTCGCGCTGCACGCACAAGCATCTTCATGATGGACGCCCACGGAAACAACGCGTTGCACATGGCTGTCGTCCACGACCTCCCCGACGTGTACGACTTTGCCGTGCGCCACGCCATGTCTCGGTTCCCAAACGCGTGCCCCAAGCATTTTGATCCATTGGACACGTCCAAACCGTACGACCTGCCCCTCTTCATGAAAAAGCTCCACGGCAGTGAAAAAGATCACTTTGAACGATTCATTCGCAAGCACAACACAGATTACTTGTACGACCTTTTCATTGTCCAGAAAAACAGCCCTAACGGGCATCGTGTCGCAGGTCCCCGCTGACGCTGGCGGCCGCAATGGGCCGATCCCGCATGTTCCAGCACATCATCAAGTCTCTCAGCGTCAAGTCGTGGTCGTATGGTCCCGTGACGTCCATGATGATTCCGCTAAAAGGGGTGGAAGAACGCGCCCGACGCCAACGGCCCAAGAAACTCCACGCGGCGAAGAACGGCGAAGTCCGCCCGACGACGGCCGAAGTGCCATCTGCAGAGACATCATACCATCACCACCTGCACAGCCATGCCAAGGTAACGACGTCACTTCCAAATGATCTACTGGTAAGGTTGGAGTGGCCAGCCTTCGTGGTGGCATCGTATGCTAGAGCGTCGCAACATCAAGACGGCCGTCGAATGCCTCGGGTCGAACTCGCAACTGTCGATTTGCATCGACCCCAAGACGCTCAAGGTGCGTCGGTTTTCTTTCGTTCGTGTCGATGCGCTCACGTTGTTTGTGGTCGTCGTGAGCTAGGACGTCATGCGCCATCGTCTCGAAATGATCGACACGTTTGAAGTCAAGATGGTGCTCGACAAGAAATGGGAGTTTGCAGGGCGACGTCTGTTCAACTGGAACTTTCGGCGGCATGTGCTTTTCTGCGGCGCGTTCACGGCGTCGACTTTCTTCACCCACCACTACCGCGTCGACGGCGCACACATCGACTGGGCCGCTGCATGGCCACACGTGGCGCTCGAGTGCGTCGTTGTCGGCGAGATGCTCTACCGCGTGTACTACGAGTTCAAACAGATCAAGAAGAACGGTACTGTGGCCACCTTTGCTACATGACATGATCGGTGTGGAACGTGGCAGGCGTCGCGGGGTACTTGGAAGACACGGGGGCCGGCATGGTCGACAACGTGCTCAAGTTGTCGTTCTGCATCTTGATCGCACTGGCCATGATCTTTCGTGCGACGGGGCAGTTTGTGACCGAAGACGCGTGCGCGGCGCTGGCGCTCCTCGCCACGTACTTTTACTTTTTCTTCTTTTTGCTCGGGTTTCGCAGCACAGGGCCGTTCATCGTGATGGTGCTGCGCATGCTGGTCGTGGATGTCGGCCGGTTTGTCGTTCTCTACTTCTTTGTCTTGACTGGGTTCGGCATCAGCTTGTACGTGATTGTGGACCAGCGTGCCGGGTTCAACGCTTGGTACTTGCGCATGAAGCGGTTGTCGCTTGCGTCGTTTTGTTCGACGTTCACGTGGAGTGATTTCCAACTGATCGACGTCATGGAACTGAGCCAGTTGAGCCAGCTCCTTGTGTTCACGTACTTGTTCATGGTCGCGGTTGTATTTCTAAACCTTCTCATTGCCACGTAAGGCAGCCATCGCCACGACGTCGCTTTGCGCGATTGACATGGACTGTAGGATGGGCAACACGTACGAATCGATCATTGAAGCGTCCGAGCAGCAATGGTACGCCGAACGCGCCAATATCATGAGCAGCATGGAAATTACGCTGTCCAAGACGACGAGAGAAGCGAATCGGAAGAGGTATGCCGTCGAACTCGAAGGCGAGCGGTACCTTCAAGTGGAGTATGTCGATTCGGACACGTGGCTCGGGACGAAGGAGCATGACCTGCAAAAGACGTTCTGCGACTTCAAGAACGCGGTCGCTGAATACCGCGCCAAGAAAGCGGCCGACAACGACGATAACGACGTGAATGAAGATGACGAAGCAACCATCCAGAATCGAATCGATGCGCGGATATACGAGCTACACGATGTGCTCTTTCAGCAATAAATGTTCGTTTTCCATGTCCTCGCGACGCCAAGTCATGAATATCGTCCACGACGTCCACCAGCGCTGCGTCTACCCCGAAGCTCCGTCGACGACGCGCCCTCCTTGTGCGTCCAGCGTCCATGCGCTTGAGTCAGTCGTAAGTTTGACTTCGGTGAATTTATAATGCGTGACACAATTGTTTTTACAAATTTCAAATAATAAAAATCGCGTGGATAGATCGCGACGGTTCGCATTCTTTGCTTGAACTGTGGACTGCAGGATGGAAAAGATGGAACTGGTGTCGACGCCGGAAGGGGTCACGTGGCAGGACCGCGAGATTCGGTTCGACATCGCGACGTCCGCCATGGAGCTCCGCAAGGGAGAGGTCGCGATTGACTCGATTAATTCTGTCGAAGACACCAAGGGCAACAACGGCGACCGCGGGTCGCTGGAGATTACCAACCTACGGTTGTTGTGGGCGTCGCATCGTTCGACTCGCACGAACTTAAGCATCGGGTACAATTGTGTGCAGTCGGTCAAGATCCGTACGGCGACGTCCAAGCTTCGAGGGTCGACGCAAGCGCTGTACATCATGACCAAGTACTCGAACTCACGGTTCGAATTCATCTTTACGTCGCTGGTGAAGGCCAGTCCGCGGCTGTTCACGACGGTTCAAGCCGTGTTTCGATCGTACGAAACCACGAAACTGTACCGCGATCTCAAGTTGCGTGGCGCCATCATCCAGGTATGCAACGGTACCGCTTGAATGGCTCGCGTGATGGAATCGATCCAGGACAAAGAGCTGCGCCTGCTACCCCATGAACAAGTGTACACCAAAGTCCCCGGAGTGTGGAACCTCAGCTCCGACCAGGGCAACCTCGGCACGTTCTTTGTCACAAACGTTCGCGTCGTGTGGCACGCCAACCTGGCGGAGAATTTCAACGTGAGCATGCCGTACATGCAAATCAAGAGCGCGCGCATCCGCAACTCAAAGTTCGGTCCTGCCCTCGTCATTGAGACGTCCGTGTCGAGCGGGGGCTATGTCCTCGGGTTCCGCGTGGACCCCGAAGAGAAGCTGACGGAGCTCTTCAAAGAGATCAAGAGTTTGCACACGGTGTTCTCGGTCAATCCAATCTACGGCGTCGAGTACACGCTCGAGGAGAAACCAGCGTCGCTCGAGTTGCTCAAGCAGCCGCGCAAGATCGATGACGTTGAGATCGTCGAGGATCAATCGAGCTCCATCGATGCGTTCGCCGCGTATTACGCCGTGGCCAACAAGAACCAAGTAACGCATCCGATCGGGTGTTGCTGCATTGACGGCTGTGGGTAGGACCGCGCTCCGACGTACTGCAAGGACATCGGGCTTGCGATTGAAGGTCTTCCCGAAGGCATTTCTCTTGCCGATTTGTGGTGCGTCACGTAAAGAGCGCGCCCGCTGAATTGATCCCAATGCACGTGAGTAAAAACCCTTCAACAGCGTCAGAAAAAGTCGAGTAACGTTAGGAATGATTGAATGTTTATGGGCTCCCAGGGTTGCGCAGTTGGATGTAGTTGTTGTGGCGGCGACGTAGCTTTCGGTATCCGACGACAAGGATTGCAACGCCGACCGCCGTCCACACGAACGACGATGCCATCGACGTTGAACTCAGCGAAGGCTGTGGCAGCTTCTTGGTGGTCTCGGCAGGGGCCGGGGGGTGGCCCGGGGTCACGGTTGGATTGGTTGAAGTTACAGGCGGTGGGTTCGACGTGAGGGGTGGAGGCGTGGTCGAAGGTTGCGAAGTCGGCGGCGCTGTGATTGTGTCTGCCGGAGTAGTTGAGGTGGGGACGGCAGTGGATTGCGGAGCCGTATTCACAACATTCGTCAGAACTGCGGGGGTAGTTGTTGGCAGGGACCCGGAAGGAGGTGGGAACGTGATGGTGTCTCTCGCTGCTGCAGATAATGTGGCATAGCAAGTTCGTACATCCGTGGCAAGCGGCTCGGACGTGAGGGGCATTGTGCACTGAGCGTCCGTAAAATGACCAAAAGTCATTTGCGAACAGTTGGCCTGCACGAACAGGTTTGGTCGGCCCAAGGAGACGCATTCGTTGTCTACAACAGTCTCGATACCCCATGGCCCGTGCCGGATTTGCATGTATGTGGTGTTGGGGTACCAAACGTCGTCGGTGGTGTTTGCTTTGACGCTGGAGGTGCAGTTGCGGGTGATCGACACATCTGTGGCGTTGTCATGCTTGCGGTAGACCAGAGGACCGACGCAGGCAGGGCCCGGCATGACTCGCCCACAGACCAGAAGACACGAACAATGCCTTTAGGCCAACCGCACAGCCGACGCTGTTTGCCATTTTGCCATCTGCATCACCCGACAAGTGAGCGTTGTAACCGACGGGGCGTTTCAAAACAGCGAAGGGTTTTGAAAAAAAAGTTTTGTTGTTGTGTGCATTTATCTGGGCAATGCTCGGAGAATGCGAATGTCGTCGTGTGGCCTATGTGGAGAACATGGCATGAGAACAGGGATGCGACGAAGTGAAGGACTCAACTTGTCGTTGGCCCCCGTCTGAACGAGCCCAATACGCTTGACGACGCCCATGCCTTCCGAAATCCGACCAAAGATTGAATGCTTTCCGTCCAACCATGGAGTAGGTGCTAACGTGATGAAAAACTGACTACCGTTTGTGTTCGGGCCGGCATTTGCCTATGGTGTACATTTCAGAAGAGTCGATAGGATTCACGAGTAGACTCACCATGGACAGTACCCCCGCACCCGTGTGCTTGAGCTGCGGAGTAATTTCGTCTTCGAATTTTCCCCTATGTATAGGCATGCAGTGGTGATGCGAGATCAATTAATCGACCAACCCATAGATGGACTCGCCACCACGTCCCGTGCCTGTTGGGTCACCACCTTGGATCATGAAATCCTATATGGCGCACGAATCAATGCGTGATACATGTTGCAAAGATCGCGTGATTGCGGGTCCTACCTTGATAATGCGGTGGAAAATGGTATTGTCGTAGTACCCACGGCGAGCCAATTCGATGATGTTCTTGCATGTACGGGGAGCATGCTGCATATACAGCTCCATCGTAAACGTTCCCTAGCGCTCCATTATGGATTCCGGGGACTTCATCTTGCTTCACATACCATGGACGTCTCAAAGTCAACGTAGCACGCCATGGCGAAAGAGGCTGCGCGTGTGGTTCCTTGGATTTGAACAATGGGATTTTTCATGAAATAACCAATCACTACGCGTAATAATCATTATTTTGACAAATGAAGTCATTGAATTCAATAATTTAAATGCATTGGTGTCGTGCAGACAAACTCGAAATTAAATGGGCTCCTTCTCCTTGCCACTGATTGGCTCCATTTGTGTTTGACCGTGCGTTTCATAGGAGATGGCGTCGGCGGAGGCAGACTCCCCACGACGTAACACAAAGTCGCGGCGGTCGCGATCACGAAGTCCAAGCACACGGCGGGATCGAAGCAGAAGTCGAAGTAGGGAAAACGCTAGAAGAAGAAACCGATCGGCATCGCGGTCATCGTCGTTTGATCGAAAGAAGAAGAAGAAGGAGAAAAAACACAAAAAGGTCAAACGTCGACAAACCAGCGACAACGCAGATGTATCCCAGGAGGAAAGTGCCTCGACAGATGCCCTCAATGCGACTCCTTCGACGTTGGCCGTGAAAACGGACCGCAAGAGAGACTTCTTTGCTCAGCTGAAGGAGCAAGAAGCGTCGAAAGGTACAATTGGAACAATTCACTCGTCAGGACGCAAGCAAGAAAGCGCCACAGTGCTCACGGACAATTGGGAATGCGTCAAAGCTGGTTGCGGAAATAGTAACATGAAGCGAGCGACGTCGTGCCTCAAGTGTGGCGCAATGCGCCGCATTTCCCAGTGGCGCTAGCTCTTGCAAGAAAAATCTGATTACCCTCGCAATTTAAATATATGATTTTTTTTTATTTCACCTCGGATATATTCGATAGGATTTTAATTTATTCCATCTATACTGATGTGAAGGTTTGAAACGAAACACCAGGGAGAAAATTTGAAATATTTAAAACAACATCGATGGCAACCATCGACCCACCATCTCCGATCGCTGCCGCCACGGTCGGCAAGGACGAGAGCGCCGCGCCAATTGCAGCGTCTGTTCGCAAAGTTGGTCGCCCAAAGTCCCTCATTCATGCGGAATTCGAATGGTCTCCAAAGTTCGGGGAGCTCAAGTGCGACCAGGCCAAGTGCAAGCACTGCGGTTGGAGGGGTGCATACTCCAAGCAAAACATGGATCGCCACTGGAAAAACTGCCTACAGGTACAAGCGCCATCGCAGCCCGTCTGAATCGTTCAATCGAGGTCATGACGTTGAGCTTTACATAGAGACCTCGTGACGACATTGCGGTGGAGGCGAGGTACATTTGAAATGCATTTGAAATATCAATGGTTTTAAATTTTGGCCCGAGACACGCGATGAGGGTGCATTTCTCATCTTGTGATCATGCTTAGACGCCGCTTCCTCAGCACCGTGCCAAAGCGACTGACGTCGACGGAACGCTCGTTGGGTCTAGCGAAAATCCCTGACTGGAAGGTCGTTGAAGGCCGTGATGCTATCTACCGCCGCTTCGACTTCAAGGACTTCAATGAAGCATGGGGCTTCATGTCCCGCGCGGCTCTTGTGGCCGAACAAACGAACCACCATCCCGAGTGGTTCAACGTGTACAACCGAGTCGACGTCACGTTGAGCACCCATGATTGCAATGGGCTGTCCCAAAACGACATCAACTTTGCCACCAAGTTGGACGAGTTTGCCATCGGTCTCAAGTCGCAGCACGATATATAGCTGAAATCGTTGGCTCAACGCTAACGTATACAAACCGATCTAGTCGCGTCATGTCTTCTTATCACTCAACTTCCGAACAACGCTGCATGATCAGTGCTGCCCGCTGCCTTGGAGCAGGTGCACGGATGTCGTAAGCGATAGCGCGACCTCCTTCACGTCACGCCACATTACACAGTTCGCTGACAATTTTGCTTCAGAGGCTATATCATCAACGTTCGCCTTTCACGCGGTTGCCACTTTCATGAAGGCAATTATGGCATGCCTAGCCACATCCTCTACCTAGTTTCAGAGCTTCTTGACCATTCTCGTTGACATTGTACCAAACGATGCGTATGTAAGAGGAAAATCAATTTCGACTGATTACGAACTGTGCCGGAGTTTCATCGAAAGTTGGAGTTGCCGCCAGCCGCGCTTCCGCGACTGCCGCTGCCGCCGTGCTTGATGCTCGCCTTTCGCATCGTGGCCTTCGAAATGATCGACTCGGCAACGCTCTGATGCGACGCAATCGACGACACGTCTGAGTCCCCATCTGGTTTCTTCCGCATCGACCCCGCGACGCTCTTTACTGACGACGAAGTCAGTGCCGTTCCCGACTTGTACAAGTCCCGCGATGGTTTCTTCGCCGTATCTCGACCTGTGGACTTTGGTCGGGGCGGGAGTGTGCCCTCAACATGCTCCGGAAACAGTGCCGCGTACTCGCAGAGCCCTGGAATGTAACAAATGAGCTAATTGTCCATGTGGTAGTCCAAGATCGAACCGCCAGTGAGGACATATATGTTGTCAAAGCCCTTTTGACCAAGCAAGTTGGCTGACTGAATCGAGAGCTTTTCGTCCATGCAGTAGAGCACAATGAGTTTGCTTTCTTGGTTTTTCTAACGAGGGAGCGTAAATGGACCGATGTAGCGAAGTCTCCGGGGCGTACGAATTGATGCATCTCGGGGAGAAACTGGTCGCGGCAGAGGAACGCCGTCGGGAACGATTTGGCTGCAACGAGAGCCATGAGCATCAAGCTTAGATATTGCATGACGTGCGTACATCGGTGGATTCGATTCTGTGCAAAGTCTTCCCGTGGGCGTGTGTCGAGAATTAAGTACGGAACATCGTAATTCTCGCCTTCCTCGGCGTCGTAGCTGACGATACGAGGCCCGGCATGCTCTTGGTTGTCATCCGACACTTGCCGCTCCATGACATACTCGCCGTCGGCATTCTTGACCATTCGAGCGACCAGTTCTGGTGCCGCTGCGTCGCCCTTTCCAGTGTCTTCGTACTCGGAGAATAGTTCAGCTAGGCATCGAGGCGTCACGCGGCGAAAGGTTTCGTCGCGGCGTTTGAGGAACTCCTTGCTCGCTACTCACAACAAAATGCGCAACATGACTGTATGTTCTGCTGGTGGAACTCCATGACGTACAAATGAGGCGCACTTTGTTGACGGTGCTGCCCGTGTCGAGCCTGCTTTGCGTGTCCTTGTACTTTGGGTTCTGCGGCAGCCGTTTCTCCATGATCTACACAGACAGCTATGACTTCTGTCCCGCCCATTGCGCCGTAGCATTTTAGCGTCTTACAGTCATCGCGGCCTTCGGCTTGTTGTGCGTGCCCGCCTTCAAGCTCATGTCGTCGTGTGTTCGGAAGGATCCAAGAATGCGACTTGTCCAAAGCTTCAAATTGCCCATATGCGGACTCAAATACTGGCCAATCCGAAACTTCGATTTGGGATAGGTATCATTTGATTGGATTATATTCTTAGAACGGATACTCCGCTTTTTATCCGGAATTGCGGCAGGAAGCGCCAACTTGTCCGCGCGTAGTGATCGCGAAGCAGCCGCAGCATGACGAGCCTTCTGAAGAGCATCCCGAAGGGCGATGTGCAGAAAATATGCAGCGGCCAATCAGTCGTGGACCTTGCCACGGCAGTCAAGGAGCTCGTGGAGAATGCGCTGGATGCTGGCGCGACCACGGTTGAAGTCAAACTCAAGGAGTTTGGCCAAGTGGGGTTTGAAGTGAGCGACAACGGACAAGGCATCCCCGAGGCAGATCACGCAGCAATTGCGCTCAAGCACTACACGTCCAAAATTCGAGCGTTCGAAGATCTGGAGAGAGTCGCGTCGTTTGGATTCCGCGGCGAAGCGCTGAGTTCAATCTGCCAACTCTCCGGAAGCTTCAGTGTGCTTACACGCACAGCGGATGACAGCATTGGTACATTGCTGCAATATGATCAAAACGGCGCGTTGGTGTCGTCGGTAGGTTCCATACCTTCCTCCACATCTCAATTGATTTCGGTGTAGTCGAAAAAGGCTCGTGGAATTGGCACGACCATCTTCGTCGACGACCTCTTCCGTCCCTTGCCTGTCCGGTACAAGGATTTCTCGAAGAACATCAAAAAGCACTATGGAAAGACTCTTCGCATCTTGCAAGTAGGATCATCTCGACTCCATCAACTTCGTCATTGACTGCGTCAGGGGTATGCCGTGATCAGCTCCAACGTCAAGTTGTCCTGCATCAATATTGCGGGCAAAAGTAACGCACGGCAGCAAGTTCTGTCGACGGAAGTGAACCCCACCATCGCCAACAACATTGCCAACGTGTTTGGGAGCAAGTTTCTCAAGACGTTGTTGGCCGTGGACATTTCGTTGCCGTATTGGCCTGATGCCTCCGGCAGTACCAATTCATCCTATAAAATCTCTGGGTTTGTGTCGAAAGTAGGAGCTGGCGTTGGCCGGAGTGACAACGATCGCCAGTTCTTCTTCGTGAATGGTCGCCCAGTCGACTTTGCCAACGTACGTTGACCATTTATCTGCACTACGTCGAAATATGGACGAAACGAATCGTAAAGACAGTGTGGCGTGATGTCGTGATGGGTATAGGCAACCAAAGCAGTGAACGAAATCTGGCGCCAGTACGAGATGAAGCAAAAGCCCGCTTGCATGCTCAATTTTGTCCTGCCGCCCGACGCTGTAGACGTCAACGTGACCCCCGACAAGCGAGAAACATTTCTCAAACATGTACTCGCCTCATCTGCTTTTCCTTCATGGAATCGCGCCGGATGATCCAATATGTAGGAGGCACACATTGTGGAATCCCTGAAAAGTGGCCTCACGGACATGTACGAGCCATCGCGTGGCACGTTTCAAGTGCAGAGTCTCCTGCCCGTGGCCACCAGCCAACAACAACTTCCTGCGATACACAAAAAAAGCGCTCTTCAAGTATCGGTTCCAACTCCACCCGGTGTCTTTTCTGTTCCGTCCAACACGAATAATAAACGCCAGCGAGACGCGGAAGAAAGCAATGATGTGGCAAGGTCGGACGTCGGGCAGGACTCCATGCCCGCCGACGACGAATCAATACGTCGTAAACGACCTCGGCATATTGACGTCCAGCCGCCATCTGAGACACCAGTTCAACGCGACGCTGATACAAATGACGATGATACAACAGGCACTGGGGGTGGCTGGAATGTGACTCGTTCAAACACCAGCCCATCAATCCCTGCCGGGGACACTACTTCCTCGTTTCTTCACCCCAGTGCACTCCCCATGGCGCACTTCCATCGTAGTCTTGACGACGACCCATCGACAACGTCTTCGTATGAGTCGAATTGCGTACCAGCGTCGCCCAGTTCAACGGCGGCGTCATGTGCAGCCACACCATTATCCAAACACCAGCCACTGGACGATACGTTGAACACGCCAGCTGCAGCAACTGCATCATCGTTCTCAAATATGTCGGCCAAGAAGGACACGCCCAAGAAACATCAGCGCATGCTCTACTCCATCTCGAAAGCCACCATGGATGAACTCATTGCCCAACGGAAATTGTTCGCGCAGCACACGAAACAACAGTCCCAGGAACATCGTCGACTTTCCCTTCCCCTCGCTTGCACCGTCGCTAACGACCACGGAGACGACGACCTTGTCGAAGCCGCAGTCTCGCTGCAGCGTGTCCTGTCGAAGGTACTCGTGCAATTGTGACGGATCGACGGTGTTGACCCACGGGTAGGCGGACTTTCGCCGAATGGAAGTGGTCGGACAGTTCAATTTGGGGTTTATCATTGCCCGCCTCGATCGCGATTTGTTTATTATTGACCAGCACGCCAGCGACGAAAAGTTTCGGTATGAAATGCTCCAGCAGACGACCGTGATTCACCAGCAACCTCTCGTGCGCCCCATGCCGTTGGATCTCACCGCGGTCGAAGAAATGACGATTCTGGACCATTTGCCGCTCTTCAAGAAGCAAGGGTTCCACTTTCAAGTCGATCCGTCGGCCGCCGCGACGCAGAAGCTCAAGTTGATATCAGTCCCTTTCAGCAAGCATACTCAGTGGGGCGTCGATGGTACACGACGATTCGTTGTTTGGCACATTGGTTCACCGCACTCCTGGTTGAATTCGCTTAGATGTCCGCGAGTTAGTGTCGCTGGTCCTTGAATCTCCACACGCAGCGTCGACGATCCGACTGCCCAAAACACTTGCCATGTTTGCATCGCGGGCATGCCGCAGCGCCGTCATGATCGGGACGGCGTTGAAACGAGACGAAATGCAAAAGGTGCGCAATCCCAGTTTGCGACGACGCCTGTATCCATATTCCGGTAGATTCTTCTGCAACTGGCAGAACTCGAGCAGCCGTGGAACTGCCCCCATGGGTACAGCCCCTTCGCCCTCCTTGTAGCGTCTCAGCTTGTTGTAGGCGTCCGACCATGCGCCACCTAGTCGACTTGTCATGCACATTGCAGTCGCAAAAAGGGCCGACGGCATGAGCATGCAGTTGTGTACTATTTTATGCTTCAAGACCCGTTGTCTCACCATTCTGTTATCGCGTATTGTTGTCGTCAGCGAACTGCAACGGCATTTGGAACACCATTGACACTTTTGCGATTGGTACGGATGCTGCATCTTTTGCACGTCGTTAGCCGCCGACTTGACGCAGTTTTAATGCCCCGTTCCGTTGGTGCGAGATGGGGGAGACCATCGCGACCAACCACCATGAGGGCGATGGCAAACAGCGCAGCAACGTTGTGTGCACGATACTGTACCACAAAGCTGTCGTTGGCAGCGCAAGTACAACACGAAGAGAGCTCGTCGGTGGAGGCGGCGCATGCACGGAACGAAAAGGGACATCGGGCGCGGCACGAGCGGTTCTGGGATCACTTGCTGCAGTGGCAAGAGGCTGCTAGAAATTCCACCGACAGTCGCGCGCACATCGACCTGGACACGCAGGATTTGGAACGGTCCTTTGGACCGGCGTTTGCTCAGTTGTACATGGCGATTGTGGCCCACCAGCCGTGGATGCAGTGGGCGTCATCCTTTATACCATTTTTGCCCTCGACGAGTGCCGACCGCAAGCATTTCAACGTCCGACTGCAGCGTTTCTTCGACATTCACGGGCGGGCCATGTGGGAGCAGTACTTTTGGACCGGCAGTGGGGTGAAGCCTTGCGTCGGGCCAAGCCAGCGCTTCGTCTACGCCCGTGCAGAGATGGGATTACTTATCTACGACCTGTACCAACTCGAAGGCGTGGCCGCACTTGTGTTTTTGGACGGGTATCCGCATCCGTCCTGGCCGTCGCTACTGCTGCGTCCTGTGCACTTGAAACGAATGGAGAACGCACGATTGTATGTCGAAGAGCAGCATACGAAGCGATGGCCGGACTACACCAAGTACCAACGAGTTGGCCACTACAAAATCCCACACGACACGACGGCGCCATGGCCAGCGCCGTGCGCATCGTTTATTCAATGGGCAGCGGGCCGGAGCAAGGGATCGTGTGCAGCTGACGCGTGGCTCGAAACGGGAGCAACGCCCGAGTGGTTTGCCAGCGTGTTGAACGAAATGAAGGCGACTGCTGCAGAACGCTGCGTTCAACAAGGGCGTCACAACGATGCGACGTGCCCATACATTTGCGTCATGGTGGCGGACCATATTCCACCGCATTGGAAGGTGCCCGACGTCCTTCCATCCAAGTGGGTGTGGGATGCGACGTCGCGGTCGGTCGTCGAGTGCTGTGACTAGTGTGGCTGCGTGGTGTGCGTCTTGTCTGTAATGAAAATGCAAGTTTTGCATCGACAGGAGGAACCCGTTGGGGGACTCGTCCCAAGTGCAGATTCCAACACTGCCCCGTCGAAGACACAATTGAAATTCCATGGTGGCGAGGGCTCTTCGCGTCCATCGTCTTCGTGTGGCTGGTTCAACGCACCGTCGTTGGCTCGTCACTTCGGTCGGTCGGATGCAATGCCACCGGCAGCGCGAGAAGCAATCGATGATTTCGTCGCCTTCGTGACGAAGCGCGTGGAGATGCGGCACTCGGAAGGCTTGGCGCTCTTGGTCAAAGCGTATGCGGCGGGGGAGGCAACCGCTTTGTGCAATGACTTGGTCGACGAGTTCGTGAACGAGGCGTCGAATGTGGTCATCTATGCCAAGAACCGCCCTTCAACGAGCCCCGCTCCCTTTCCCAGCTCGAGTCCGCCAAAGAAGTGCCCCCACTGTGATGCCACCCCCGCCAGTACTGCGCACCTGGGCTGTCCTTGAAACAGCCAACGAACTCGATCAGTTGGCCATCACCCTCAAGGGAATGCGCCAGAGGTTTTGCGAAAAATGGATTGCTGTCATCGAGAAGGCCCCACGGCCGACGTCGTTCGTGCCGTTCTTGCCACAACGACTCCCGATCGTGTTGACTTCAACGAAAACTTGCATGGCTTCTTACGCGACCACGGCCAAGCAATGTGGGAGCGGTACTTTAGCTTGCCAGATCGAGAATCGCCCAGATCGACGGCACGCCTTCGAGCTGCAATCCAAGCGTTTGGGCTCTTGGTGCACGAACTGTACGTGCTCGAAGGAGTGGATGGGTTTCGGTTCCTCGCCCACTACCCCCATCCTTCGTGGCCGATCCTGTCGGAGCATTCGCTTCTGCCGTACAATTTTCAAGGGAAGAATTTCCTCCGGTAAGTTGAAGCCGAGCACATGAAGCGGTGGCCGTCCTGCGCCGCGTACTGGAAACACACCAAGTCGTCGCATCGTCCCTAACAACCCTTGACGACCTACCACCTGGGCGGCTACGTTCTCCACGAACGCGTGCATTACGTTCCGGACGACGTTCATGGAGGCAAACCCGCGCTTCTTTGCCGACTTGAAAGCAACCGTGGAAGTCGAGCCATTCGATGCAGACAAGTCGCCGTACGTTTCCATCACATCGGCACCGTTCCCATCGACGTGGACGTTTCCAAACGGCCCCCTGACGACGCTGCGGTGGACGTCGGACGACTAGAAGACCGACACCTCGCGTGGCTCTGTACATTAGCAGATCCTACCGGCTTGCATGCGTCGTAAAACTCTAGCAGATTCCTACGCTCGACATGCTCGGATGTACAAAGGCCGGCGAGTCGTCATGACAAGGTTTAAGCGAGACATGCACGATTCCGCAAGGGGTGCTTCACCGAGGGACCGTGGTTGCGCCACTTGGCACAACGACAGGCACACACGGCCGCCCGTGGATGTGGTTCGTTCGCAGAGTGCGATGTGACGTCACGTACGGCCAGCAACGCGGCTTCCACAAGTCGTAGATTTTGCACGAACCATCAAAGTTCGTTCCAACAATGACACAATGGATGACGCTTGGCCGAACGAGTCGTGCGCTAGACTGACTGCCCTCACAGGTGGAAGGGAAAGCTACCGTTCGAGGACCCCCGCGGCACTCGACGGCCACCGCTGTTACGTTCCTTCAACATGACGTCGCCCGTGCAGAGAAAATTCACTGGGTTCGGTCAAATTATTCAGTTACGTGCAACGACAGACACAATGCCGTTGGTGAAATGTATTGATTAAAACCCGTTTGTGAGCGAAATGTCTCGCTAATTTGCCCTTCCCACTTGATCTCCAACCCGACGACACCATGCCGCCACGTGCGCCGGCACGTTCACTCATGATCTTAGCATGACGTCGAGCTGGTCATATCTCTTTTGTCCGTGCTTCACCAAGATGTCCACTGCCGCCGCATCGACCAAGAAGCCAACGTCGTTGTCCAAGTCGTCGTCTGGGAAGTCCGCTATCGTCGACACACACAAAGTCACCAAGCCGTCGCTCGTGTCGACTGAGTCGCTCGCAAATGCGATTGCCCGGTGCAAGGAAGAAGTGGCGGCAATCGTGGCCGAGTGCCGCGCCAACAACCGCGTGTTCCGCGACATCGACTTTGACTTGTCCAACAACGAGTCGGATTGCCTCGAGTCTCTGGTCGAGTCGTGGGACGACGCGCCGTCCCCGGGCGGCGCCCTCCGCGTGCGCCAGATCTTCAAGAACCCCATCTTCTGCGACGAAGGGTTCGACGCGGCCGACATCAACCAAGGCACGACAGGCAATTGCTGGTTCCTCGCTGCGCTTGCGTCCGTGTGCGGCGTGCCGCGCATCATCGAAAACATTTGCGTCGCCCGCGACGAACGCGTTGGTGTGTACGGGTTCATCTTTTTCAAGGACGGTGACTGGGAGCACGTGATCGTGGACGACCAGCTCTTCGTGACGACGACGGACTTTGACCATGCGTTCGAAACGATGATCGTCAAGGACAAAAAGACGTTCAAGGACACGTTCCGGTCCGATTCGCAAGCGCTCTTCTTCGGCAAGTCGAGCTCGGCGCGCGAGACGTGGCTCCCGCTGCTTGAGAAGGCGTACACGAAGCTGCACGGCGACTACAAGTCGGTGGAAGGCGGGCACACTGGCGAAGGCATCGAAGACCTCACGGGTGGCGTCACCACCTCGATCTCGATCACCGACATCCTCGATTACGACCGGTTCTGGTACGACGAGCTGAGCCGCACGAACGTGGACTCGCTCTTCTCTGCGTCGATCTTCAAAAAGCACTCGGGCATGGAGTCGCAGTCGTCGAACGGCCTCGTCCACACGCACGCGTACTCGGTGCTCAAGGCGGTCGAAGTGAAGAACGTCAAGTTCCTCTTGATCCGCAACCCGTGGGGCGAACACGAGTGGAACGGACGGTGGTCGGACGGGTCGAAAGAGTGGACGCCGGAATGGATGGCGGCGCTGGATCACCGGTTTGGGGACGACGGGTCGTTCTGGATGCAGTACGAGGACTTTGTCGAGGAATTCACAACCATCGAGCGCACGCGGCTCTACGATAACAAGTGGTTTGTGAACCAGGAGTGGATGGAGTACCGCACGAGCTGGCCCGCCGAATGGAGCAACGCGCTGTTTCAGTTTGACCTGACGACAGACAGCCCGGCCAACATCGTCCTGGCCAAGGCGGACGACCGCTACTTCCAAGGGCTTCAAGGTCCGTTTTTCTTTGGTCTGCGCATGGCCATTTACCGACGCGCGGACGACGGCAACCGCGTGTTTGTCGGCCATTTCGTCCAGCGATCGTGGGGCCGCAGCATCAGCCTCGAGTTTGCCTCGCTCAAGAAGGGCCACTACGATGTCGACGTCATGGTGGTACGCACCCCCAATGGCGTCGACCCGGCGGTGTCCGTGATCGAGACCACGGGCGCCACCAACCCGGACAAGCTCCTCCACATCTGCAAGCAGTTTAACGCGAGCCGCGCCAAGGCGGTGAACGTGGATCCGTCGTTTGACATTTTGGACACTGCTCGGGAAACACAGCTGACCGCGTACGAGTCGGGCGTCGTCGCCAAGCAAAAGGCGCTGAACCGCCAGATGGCGGCAATGCAACAGGAAGAAGCGGACGAAGATGCCCCGGAAGACGAACCTGCCGCCGAAGACGAACAAGTCGAGCAAGTTGTCGAGGAGGAGGACGAGGAGGCGAAAGAGGACAAGTTGACCGGGGCCGTCGTCATCGGCGTGCGCATTTATACTAAGGACGCCGACGCAATCGTCAGCGCCAACTTGACTCAATAATTGTGGTGCACACGAATACATGTTGATTGCCTCTCGTGTTGTCTCGAGGAAAAGGACCGAGAGGGATCGGAGCTGGCCAAGCAGAGCAGCAACTACAAGTGAATCGATCAGTCACTCGGGCTCGCTCGTGCCACCGATGCCGCCGCATCACAGGTGCAGAGTTTTACCATTGTTTTATGCGTTTTGATATCGCGCCTGCTCTGCCAACACGGCGTTTTGCCGGATCATGGTATCCAGCTCAAGCATCGCCTGCATGAGGTGAATTGCTCTCCGCCCAGAACGTAATGCAATGCGGCCATGGACATGCCTCGTCATGCGATCATCTCTGTGCTGCACGATGCATGCAGCGAACTTCGAGGCAGTGCCGCCATTGCCGTCGTTGCTGGCCAACTTGCGAGTTCGAAACGCATGCCTGTGATTGGCTGGCTGACCTGGAATTCAAAAACTCGCGCTGGCGGCAGATGGACATGCAAGGCGAACTGGCGCGGCTCGACCAAGCCGCGTCGAAAGTAGCGCTCATGCGTGCGTCAGCCGAGCAGGTGATACAAGATGTGTGCACCTCCACGACAGATCTCCTTCGCGAAGTGTCGGCATCCATCGCGAGGGTGGATACGACATGGAAGGCAAATCAAGACCACATTCCCGACACTGCCCGCGCTGCGATCGTCGACGAATTTGCCCAGTTCCTCACGAAATCCCTGGACGTTCGCAATTCAGCAGGTCTGATGCAATTAGCTCAAGCTTTTGTCCAGCGCGACACAGCCATGGTGGACAAGTTCATTGAAAACTCGGTCAACGTCGTGGTGTTTGCCAAAGCTGTGACAGAAGTGTCCGTGAAGCACGAAGGCGCGAATACCGCTTCGACGACTCCGATTCGCATGGTCCGTCAAAGTGACAGCCCAGTCTCGATCAACACCCCTGAGGAAAACACGATCTTAAAGCGAGGGCACTCGTCGGACGAGGACAATCATGACAGCAACAGCACCGAACCCAAACGGCGCCGTCTGACCCTTCTGACGCCAGCCAAATCAGCCACGGCGGCGAGTCCTCCGCCAACTCCATCGCCGTCCGCTGCTTTTGTTTCTTTAACGCCCCATGCAAATCCTGTCGTCTCAAACGACGTCGAATCGTTCGCACCGACATTGGAACGAACTCTGGGCAAGGCATTTGCTAACAAATGGCTTCGCGTGGTGGCACGCGAACCGTGGACCGAGTGGTCGAATGCGTTTGTGCCGTTTCTGCCAGGACTCAACCCCGGCCAAGTCGCGTTCAACCAAACCCTGCGAATGTTTTTTCAAGAGCATGGTCGAGCCATGTGGGAGCGCTTCTTCTTCCTTGGCACCTCCTTGCATCCCCATAACACGGAGCCGTCCAGACGGTTCCGTCGACTCCGCGGTGCCATGGGCCACTTGGTGCACGACCTGTACAAGCTCGAAGGCGTCGACGTGTTTTTGTTCTTGGAAACGTACCCGCATCCGTTCTGGCCCATCGTGGTGCAGCACCCAATTCCGCTCGACATTTCGTTCCCCAGTCACAGCCGCGAGCTCCTGTCGTACTTTCAGGACCAATGCACGAAGCGGTGGCCGTCGTACCAGGGATATTGGACGCCTCCTGTGGAAGCCACGACCGCCCAAGTCGTCGAGTATGGGTTTGAAAGGTACGACCCGATGGCGTTCGTGGGATGGGCAGCCAAACGGACGCAGCACAGCTGCCGCCAGGATAAGTGGACATTTGCGTTCGACAAGACCACGGACGGCAACTACCCGACCAACTTTTTTGCCACGCTCGTCGCGGAAATGGCTGCCAAGCGAAGCTCGTTTGATCCGGCTCAAGCACCGTACGTGTCTGTCGTGCAGCCGCCGAAAACGTTGCCCAAGCAGTGGAAGTTCCCCCGAGGCCCCCAGTCTCTGTTTACGTGGGACCCAACGGCCCAACGCGCGATTTCCATGCCCCCGCCCGCTGCGGAACGGACGCCCGTCAAAATGGCCCGCCGGAGCAGTGTCACACCGTCGAAGTACAAGCTTCGGAATTAATCGAAAACTACACTCGTTGTGGCCGCGCCTTCATCCAAGTACTTAGCAGCTAGGCCACCCATCGTACTGAACACGATGCTTCCGACGGCGCCGGTTGCCGTGGTGGGAACTCGGCCTTGCTTGGTAAGGTATTTATGAAACAGCTCGCCACAGATTTTTACGTGCGATCGTGGAATGTCGATGGAACTTGTCCGATTCGTTCCATGCTATCGGTCCACGTAGGTGCTTGCTCGGATGCCGAGGAAGGCCAAGGACGAGTCATTTGGCAGAGCCATCCGACAGTTCGACCAAGCTCCGCATTGAAAACTTTGGAGAGGCTGTCAGTGGGCACGATACGTAGTGTCGCCAATGGACAAGTTCCCTGGCTAACGCGATCCGAACTCGTGATGGAATGAACGTGGGTAACGCTATGCAAAAGGGTCTTCATTTCCAGTACATAATCATTCACACAGCAGCGAAACCCACAAACCTCGACAATCCATAATGAAGGACGCGTCGTCATCATGAGGAATGATGCGCAGCTGAAACCAAGAACGATCCGCAGAGCACGGCTGCAGATACAAGGATGGCCGATCGGGAAACACACATAATGCGAATCTGCATCTCTGTCGCTGTCTGCAGCGGCATCGATGCGCTGTTGCGGAAGTAGTCGTCGTGGACAAACTCGAGTCGTGGTCATCGGCAACTATAGAAACGCTGTCCGTTGCTGCTTTTTCCTGTGACAGTGGCAACAGTGAGATTGTCCCCCCCTCATCGTTCAAATCGCGTTCCCGACGCACTTTTCCTTTTCCCGAAAACCCACCGACTTCACCGTTGGTTTCGCCGACCAGCAACCCCCCACCATGGGCATCACAAGAACCACGAATATCTATCTCCATACGTGAGTTTGATGTGGCGGACAAACTCGCCAGCCAAATCCATCGACGGAAAGACTTCGACTGCCAATAAGTTACCATCGCTCCTCACGGCTGCCTCCTTGGTGCAAAGAGGCTCCATTGTCCTCCTGCGGATACGACAGGGCAATGGACCACCAGTGGATTCAAGCGCATGTCTGAATGGGGACGACGTCAACAACTTTGTAGCCAAAGGATTCAATATTGTCCTGTACGCAAAGCGCGCGATCTCGCCGCCAGTGTGGTGCTTGCCCATTCAGGCGAGGAAACCAGTGCCCTCTTCCAAAGGCGTGACGGACAACCGACCACAATCCTCCAGGTCACTCTACGATCTCACGGTGCGACAATTTCGACTCCTCCAGGAAAAGCTCGAGAAGAACGCGAAAGCCCGCGATGGGGCACCCGTGGTGAAAGTTCGACCTACGTCAGCGACACAGACCTATCTGTCGCTTGATTTTCTTGACCCGTACGGGACGCACGAGGACATCTACAACGCTGACGGACCTGTCAAGAAGCGAAAGGTCACACCCGAGACCAGACACTGCTTTCGTTGAATAGATCGTGCATCGTCTGTGCTTCCTACTGTCTACAAGCCTACTCGAGCGCTTTGTTCGACTCTACGACAGCTCATGAGTTCGTGGTGAAGAGGCGCGGGTTGGCCATGAGACATCTTTCCACGTATGTTCCTCGTGAAGTACGTTTGACATTGTGTTATTGTATACATTTTGGTTAAGTACGACCGGCAGGATGGGAAGGTCGAGGATGTGGTAGAGGAGTGGGCGCACCCCATGAGCGCAATGCCGATCAAGGCTTACAAGACTTCCCGAAGCCACGAAAGCGGATGATGACCGACGACGGATTAAAGCCAGTGTACTGGGACCACTTTGCTGCCGCCGAGCCGGATGACGATGAGTGGTCTGTTGAGACGCGAATGCTCCAGCGGATGCCCGCGCATTCAATCGACGACGAACAGTTTGACTCGTTCGAAGTCAAGCGTCGATCCCACTTGGAGCGATTGCAGTTTTGGCGACACTGGAACGACGACGACCATGAACTTGTGTTCAAGCAAGTGCCGTATCACGAGACAGAATTGTTCGAGTCTGTCGCAGCGGCAAACGCACCGCGTTCGCATTTGGGCAGTCTGCGCTTCTGGGAGCACAACGACGACGATGCTCCCCCGGATGTTGATTGGGTTCCCAGCGATGAAGAAGAAATGCTCGTGGCTCAGCTCGCATCAACCAACGACAAACTATACAACTCGTTTGAGGTGAGACAAAAGTCGCACTTGGCGCGCCTCAGGCAGCCCAGAGATCACGATGACAACCAAGCCAGAGCGCTCAAAAACGAGTGGATGACGATACTTCCCACGATGGCCACACCACTGTCTTCATCGACGACACCAGCTCCACTCGATTCCAGTGTATGCGAGCGGCCTCGGGCTGCGAGGAATTGGCTCGGCCTAGCCCTCCTCATCACGAGCTTCTGTGCCATGTCGACCGTTGGGGTCGCGTTTCAAGTCGAATCGTCCGTAGAGGTGGCGCCAATGCTGAAGCTATTTTGGCGCGTCAGCGGCAGCTGCATGCTTTCCTTTGTGTTGACGATGGTATCTGTGGCTCGGTACGGCTGGCCGCGCGTCCACGCCCCTCTCGACACAGCCATTCGGGTGGTTTTGTGTGCCGTGGGTTTTACGCTGTGGACTAGTTGTTCGAACCTGTCTTCCACACTCACGTCCCCAACTCACGCCAACGTTCTGCTCCACGCCCATGGTCTCATCCTCGTGGCAGGAAATGTTCTCACCGAGCAGTATGTTGGCCGGTGGGAAGGCATTGGCACGATTGTGGGATTCGTTGGCACGGTAATTGCTACCATCGCGGACGCCGAGACCGTCGCTTGGTCGTCGTTTTGGAACACTGCCCGAGGATCGACGTGGCATGCCAATTTCGTGGCGCTGACTGGGGCGGCGGGGGCGGTGCTTTATCTGGTCCAAGCCAAGGCGATTCAGGCCCGCATGAACTTCATGGTGTTTATGTGGTGTCATACTGTTGCTGTGTGTGGACTCCTCCTTCCGACCATGTCTCTGATGGGCGAAACGTTCGAGTTTTCAACGAACCCATCAGTGGGCTTGTTCGGATGGGCCACACCGAACCGATGGCCGCTCGAACTGTATCTGGTAGCCGTGTGCGACTTCGTCGGATCCATGGGTTATCTCCGCGTGCTCCAATTCTTCGAACCAATTGTCGTGTCCATGACCATGCTTCTTGAGCCGACACTAGCGTCATTTCTTGGCGCGATCGTAAGTGGGAGCCAGTTCCCAGGTATGCATGTCGTTTTGGGCAGTCTCCTCGTCGCAGCAGGTGTAGTGCTTGTGTACTCGGTCAAGACGTCGCACCCGTCATCGTCGCGCCGGCGCAGCCGACGGCCAACGACACACTCGAGCGAGTTTGTGCCTCGCAAACCGCTTAACTACGGCACAATAGTCGTTTAATTTATTCTCCTCTGTCGATCCGCTCGAATTGCGTTTGCAGTCCATCGCAGGAGCAGTGAGCGATGGCAGCGCTTGCTGCGCACCTTCATGACAGATCAACGGTAGCCTACCATCATACGGATAATGTATCCGGGCTCTCCTTGTGTCAAAATTGGTAATTTCTTCTGCCGACCGTCGAGTTCCGCGATCGCCATGGCGTCCAGCTCGAAGAAGTTAAAGCGGCAACAAGACGGTCATGCACTAGCACTGGACGTTCTGTGCAACTCATCGCTTTGTACCCTGATCCAAGCGTTCAACAACGGTGTGGCGCTGAAGTTTTGGACAATGGGGGAAGTTGCCGCCCAGCGAGGATACCTCTCTGTCGTGCAGCATGCACCAAATCTACGATTCGATGGAAAAAACAGCGAAAATTCGTGCGTCAAGGCGAAGGCGATGGACTTTGCTGCCATGGGTGGGCACATCGGCGTCCTCGAGTGGATGCAGACGTCTTGCCGTTTTCGCAACGAGTGCACGTCCCACGCCATGGACTGGGCAGCAACCGCGGGTCATATCAACGTTGTTCAGTGGCTTGATGCAAACCGTTGCGAGGGATGCACAAACATGGCTCTCGTCGGTGCTGCCTGCTCTGGGCATGTCATGGTGGTGGAGTGGCTTCTCCGCCATCGCAGTGACGATGTGCAGTTCGCCATGGACGCATTCCAAGGGGCCGCAGAACACGGGCATTTGCCTGTTCTTCAGTGGTTCGTTTCAAATGGGTACTATCAAGCTCAAAACGATATGTTTCCCCTGGACGCCGCTGCAAAAGGCAATCACATGGAAGTCGTGGTTTGGCTACACACACTGAGCGCATGCCATGGCGCGTCCGAGAGTGCCATGGACCTTGCCGCAGAGAACGGTCACTTGGACATGGTCAAATGGCTGCATATGCATCGCAGGGAAGGCTGCACGGTCGATGCCATGAATTGGGCGGCCAATTGCGGTCACCTCGAAGTTGTGCAGTGGCTCCACGAACATCGGCGCGAAGGGTGTACAACTGATGCCGTCGATTTCGCGGCTGAAAACGGTTTCCTAGATGTCGTAAAATGGCTCCTGCTCCACCGCACGGAAGGCTGTACGACGCAGGCGATGGACCTGGCAGCCAAAAATAATCACTTGGACGTTGTCGCTTGGCTGCACCTGAACGGCCCGGAAGGCTGCACGTCCGCCGCTATGGACGGAGCGGCAAAGCGCGGCAATCTCGAGGTTCTTCAGTGGCTGTTCTCAAATCTCAATGTGGCGCCATCGACGAACGCCATGGACTTCGCTGCCAAAAAAGGACACGTGGTGGTGCTCGAATGGCTCAATACAGTCGCGCCCACCGTTGGGTGCACCACCGATGCGATGGATTTTGCGGCGCAGTACAATCAACTGGAAGCGCTGCAGTGGCTCCATGAACACAGGGATGAGGGCTGCACAGTCGATGCGATGAACTTTGCTGCAGAACATGGACACTTGCGCGTTGTGCAATGGCTGCACGCCAACCGCACAGAAGGCTGTACGGCCGACGCAATGGACTGGAGTGCCAAGAATGGTCATTTGGACGTCGTCGAGTGGCTGCATGAGCATCGAACTGAGGGGTGCTCCCCTGACGTTGTCGACACAATCCTTCGTGCTGGACAGCTGCATGTCCTCCAGTGGTGGTATTCCCACCGCCCCGAACGCAGCACGTCGAATGCGATTGCGATTGCCGCTGAAAACGGACATCTTGACATCGTTCAATGGCTCCACGGCGTCGGCGAGACTTGCACAACCAAAGCGATGGATTTGGCGGCAGAAAACGGGCACTTGGACGTGATCCAGTGGTTACACATAAACCGCGATGAAGGGTGCTCCCGAGAAGCCATGGACCTGGCTGCGGAAAATGGACACGTGCACGTCATGAATTGGCTACATACTCATCGCATGGAGGGATGCACACGGGAAGCGCTCGAGTTGGCAATTTCTGAAGGTCAAGAGAAAGCTGCGAGGTGGCTCGTCAAGCATCTGTCAAAGAAGGCGACGGTGGCAGCGTGCATGGCGCTTGCCAAAACGTACGGATTGGAGGAACTGAGGGACTGGTGCGTGGCGTTCAAGGCAGGACGAAAAAATGAAGCGTCGACATCGGCTCCATTACCTCCACAATAGCCGTAGCGATGTGTGGTCGCCACATACTCCACATGTGGCTTACAAACCACAATCAAGCGATGCGATGTTGCCCGAGCCGTCGAAATTGCTACGAAGGTCGTAGAGCGGGGCGTTTTCCTCCGTAGAGAAAGCATCGTTTGGCTGTAGGTCCACTGGCCGTGGTTCCCCGGCGTCAGCAGCGTTTCTCAGCCAAGACATTCTCCATGCCCCTCTGCGGAATCCAAGCTTCAAGGGCTAGAAGCATACAAGGACTAGACTTTGGTGATGGCGAGCCGAAGCACCAAGTACGAATCAAGCCAAATGTCAAAGAATGCCCACCGCCTCATGGGCATCCAACGAGGCGAAGGGGTTCCACCAAGAAAACACTTGCAGTACAAAAGATCAGACTCATTTCACCGCCACCACACAGTGAGACAGGCCTGTCGCTCCATTTCCAATGCCACACGCCGATGTGGTGCAAGTGCATCCATAGATGTGCCATGATGTCAACAAGCAGCCTGGGGCTGTCCATCCGTCGCTACGGTTCCTGCTAACTACCACGAGCTTCACCGCCGCCTTCTCACATATCGCCCCTCCCACGAAGTCGACGACGTCTGCGAGGACACCGCGCGGTGCTCGTGGCGAAGTGGGCGGCACCCACTCACTTTGCCGAGCCGACTAATGGGTTGCCATGAATGTTGAAGTCCCCAACTTCAACACTACGTCGACTCCTCCGAATATTATCCGGATTGCGAAATTTGTTGTTTGGGTGAGAACTGTGAGTGACAGAAGGAGGTGATGCGAATGTTGGTTGTAGGGTGGATACAGTGGGAGGATCGACGCCTGCTGTCAAAAGCGGGTTAGGGGGCGTTGATGGATTCGAGAATTGACAAAATCGGAGACCAATCATCACCCCCACCCCTATCCTATCGGCGTTGTAGGTATACAGAAACCAAGTCAACTCTTGAATACAAATATGCGGAGGGACGACCTCCGTGGAAAAAATCGGGTGTAGATCGGAAGGATACCAAGCAGTTTTGAATTTTCGTGGTCCAGGTAAGTCGGAGGTGTCGCCGCGCGCGACTGGTTGAGTTTTTACCCCCGCCTGCATGTCCTTCGTAGAGCGCAACTCCAACAACATGACCACCTCTGTCAAGAAATACCGCTACGTTCGCTCGGATTTCGAGCCCCTCGAGACGAAGCCCCTCCACTTCGACATGGTGTTCGACGTGACAGAGAAGCAGGTACGTGACGAGACGCTATCTGGCGCATCGTCCTCATGACTTGTACTCTCTAGGTCCGTGTGACCCTTCAAACCACCATGAAATACGTTGGTGTTGGACCCAAAACGGTGTTGAAGCTCAACTCCAAGGCTTTGGAAATTGTGAGCGTTGAACGCCTGCACAACTTTACGCCGTTGGGTGAAACCCGCAACTTTGTGCCTCATGTTGCCAGCTTCAGTGGAGCCAAGTCACTTGAATATGTCGTGGACACTGTTGACCACTTTTTGGTGATCACTTTGGATACCCCCGTGCAATCCGGCGATGAATTCGTCATTCGCACTGTGTCGATTGCCCGCCCCACTGAAAACATTTTGGAGGGATTGTACTACGACTATACTCCCGAAGGCGCCCCTCGCACTATCATCACCCAGTGCCAGCAATACGGTTTCCAGCGCATCGTCCCTTGCATTGATACGATGGACGCCAAGGCGTTTTACACCACGACGATTGTTGCTGACAAGAACTACACAAATATCATCACAAACGGTGATTTGGCCCCTGGCTTTCACACCCCCGAAGGTACCCCCATTTATCATGATGCCTCGGAATTCTTGGGTGTGGCCGATCCCACTCGCCATGCTTTGAAGTACCACAACCACACCATCAACATGGCCCCGTATTTGTTTTTCCTTGGTGTCGGCACGTACGTGACCTACCGCCGCACTTTGGAATTTCCTGATGGCGACACCACGTTGCTTGAACTCTTGGCGTTCCCTGGATTCGCTGAACCCGCTGATGCCAAGCTATCCGTCAAAATGCTACACGACTCGATCTTGTGGACCAACGTGAGCTTGGGTCCTGAGGCCACTGAACACCACGAAGAACGCAAGGCGATTTACGCTCTGCTCGAAGAACGTGAAGCGATCAAGGAGAAATCTGCACCCTTGACCGTCGGCACCGAAGAAATTGTTGAAGTGAAGCCACTGTCCGAAACGGATGCTGCACGCTTGGCTGCTGTCCGTGCCGAATTGAAGTCCCTCATTGGCAAGTGGACCAAGACTGGGTACAAGTACACTGGTCAAGTCTACCGTGAAATTGGCATGGAAAACTCTAACTACGGTGGCATGGAAAACGTTGGCAACACCACCATCGTCAGCTCGTGTTTGTGCCCCACGTGCCGCATGGGTGACCACGCTTACGAGTACATGGAACGCGTCAAGGTCCACGAATACTACCACAACATCAACGGCAGTGAAGTAACTGGTCAATCGCCTTTCGAAATCTGGCTCAACGAAGCCGTGACTGTCCACATGGAACGAAAGCGCCATGCTGCCATCTTCGGCGAAGAATACCATCGACTTGGGGATGTCGTGAAAATGTTTATTCCCACGATCGGCCCCATTGCCCTCGACAAGGCCGCCACGTGTCTCAGCGTGGAACCTGAAGGATTCAACCAAACTCAGGAATTAATTTCTGGTGTCACGTACTCCAAGGCGCCTGAAGTCGTCCGCATGGTGGAATTGCTCTTGGGCTTCAAGAACTTCAATGTCGCTTTGGACAAATACTACACCAAGTACTTGTTCGGCAACGCAACGACCGCCGAATGGTTTGCGTGCATGGAAGAAGTGTCTGGTATTGATTTCCAAAACTTCCAACGTGTGTGGTTGAAGCGCCCGGACCACCCCGAAGTCGCTTACACGACCTCCTACGACAGCGCCAAGCAAACGTACAACGTGAAGTTGACCCAAAGTGGATTTGAACGCTTTGATGGCACAGACCTTGCCGGCCCGTGGGAAATCCCAATTGACTACGCCCTTATAAAGGATGGCAAGGTTATCCGCGAAGGCGTGTACTTCTTGAAGTCCAAGACGGATGAATTCACGTTGGATAACATCTCTGTGACCCCCGACTACCTCTCGTTCGGTCGCCAGTGGTCGTTCTTCGGTACCTCCAAGGCCCTGAACGCCACCAAAGAAGCATTGATCAAACAAGCCCTCAATGACCCTGATGCTGTCAACCGTTATTTTGCCTACCGCGCTGTTGCTGATGGCGAAAAGGCAGTGATCGTTGAAGCATTGATTGCCGGACGTAACGACGTGACGATTTCCCCTGAATTTGCCGCGTTGCATGGTTCGATTTTGTTCGACGAATCGCTTAACCCTGCTGTTCGTGCTTTGATTTTGACGGAAAAAAATGCGTTGACGACCCGAGAAGACTTGAGCCACCACTACGATCATATCACGACCGCCACGGTTGCCTTGCTACAGTCTGTGTGGGCGGCCCACGGTGAAAAGATCGATGCCAACTTGAAGGAATTGATCAAGTCCACTGTGCCCGGCCCTCACAAGGACCAATTGCTTAAACGCAAGCTCAAGCAACATTTGTTGTCGATTGTTGGTGTGAGCACTGCACCTTTGGCGTTGCCTACTCTGGCCGTGTCGTCGGTGAAGATCGACGTGGCTACTGTAGCGCTCGACATTTTGAACAACTCGACCTTCGTCTCGGACAAGGAATTGTCGTTCCGCACGATTCTCTCGACTGAGTCATATGCTGAGCGTGCGACTGTCCAAGCCCGCATTCGCGACGAATGGTCCAAGACTCCTGAAATGTTGGAGTCGTACATTGCGGCTATTGGCAGCTTGTCGACGTCGGACTTTGCTACTCAAGTGCGGACGTTGATGGCGTTGCCATACTTCAACATCAACCAAACTCACCACACGCGCACGTTGGCTCGTGGGTTGAGTCAAATTCGACACAAGAGCGTGCTGACCGGTGAAGGCCGTGCGTTGATGGTCGAATTGTTCACAAAGATTGGCACGGTGAACCAAATGTCTGCGTACCCTTTGTTGAAATGCTTCGATCAAGTGCATGCATTCACTGGTGAAACCAAGCAAAAGCTGCTAAACACGCTCCAAGCGATGCAAGACTCGATTGACAAGGTCAAGGAAGAATCGCTGTACAACCAGCTCAACATTATGCTGAAGAAGGTCTAAGGTAGTCGAGCTGTGTCATTCTTTGGAGACAAAACTAATACGAGTTCATCACACGGGGGTTTGGTTGAGTTTGGAGCCGTTGACATGGCCCGTCAATGTTCTGAAACGGCCCTTGCGGCGGTTAAACAGAACTAGCAGGATGGCACGAGATCCCCATTCATTCGATCGCCAAACACTGCCGATGTCGCAGATTCTTCGGTACACAGACACCAACAACGATCAAGAAAACAATAACGATGGAGCGGTCCTCGTCGATGCGACGGAGCCCTTGACCGAACCGGCGGATACTGATTACCTGCCTGAAGTCCTATCCAAAAAACAAGATGGACTCGCCGCCGCCTTGCGAGAAATTGACGAACAGCGGCGTTTGCTGGAAGCTGCAGCCTCGAATGGATCGCTGCTGGCGGAAAAGTATTTTGCGCTCGAAGTCGAACACGAAGCGTTGAGTGCCAAGTACAATGACGCGCGCCAGTGCATCGAAGAGCTCGAGTCGCAGCAAAAGTTGAACCTCCATCGCGCCACGTCCGTGCAAAAGTGCATTGATTTGGAACAGCAGCTCAACACACACCTGCGCGAACAGGAAGCGCAGGACGAGACTCTCTCTCGACAGGACGCCGAGATTCAGTACTGGCGGTCGAAAGCGTTGGCTGCGGCCAAGGACAACGCGATTCTCCGCGACATGGTCGCTGCCTTTGAACGAGAAAAAGCGGACGCTCTTCAAAGCTGCCACCACCTTGCTCAAGCGAACCGAAAAGTGCAATGTGAACGAAGCGAGCTCATGCTCCAAGTCAAGGAGCTAGCTGGTCGACTGAATGACCAAGCCGAACGAGAACAACGACTAGTGCTATCCCACGACATTAAACAACAAAAGATACAACGCCTGGAAGCAACGGTTGAAGCCCTCGAGGACGCTGTGCAAACAGCCAAAGCCAGCCTCGACGCAAGCGAGCGCGCTGCCAAGATGCACGAAGACACCGCGAAAGAACTCCAAGGCGTCATTCACGGCCTGAAGCGTTCCCTGAGCGCATTACAGCAAGAGTATCAATTGGTCGTGGACAATCACACGATGGAAACTGTGTACACTCTACACAGCGACGAACTTTCAACGGACGACGGGAGCGATTCGTCGTGTGGATGGGGCTACTTTCTGTTGGCACTGGTGTCGATCAAGGACGCCATCACGGATCTCTCGTACAAACTGACGAGTGGGTTCCAACCGTTGCGCTAGCGTCTTTCCGCCTCAACGCGAGGACACAAGCACCGGCATAAATAAAATTACATAATGCAACACCACTCGGACGACGATGTCGGGGCTTCCACCGGGGCAGCCTTCAGCGAATTCGCCTTGCTGAACAGCGCGTTCACAAGGCGCCGTCGACGCCACCAGTTTTGGAGCAACACGGCGGCTTTCAAGTCCACTCGAGCCTGTTCATCCATGGGGAGCGACCCTGGGCCGTACTCGATCAATAACCCAACGCTGGTAAAGGTCCGAGGTACTCGTACAATGGTCTTGGTCATGTGCTGCTCCTCTGCTGCATCGAATGCGTCCACTTCCGTCATGACGGCTCGTTGAAAGTTCACCATCTCTTCTTGGAACTTGTGTTTCTTCTCGAGGTTGAAGATCATGGGAGTGATAATGGACGACACGGCACCGGTGGCTCCCGCGACGGCCTCGTAGCTGGCACTGATCGTGTTCATGGCCAACGACCGAACGCCCAAGTACGCTCCGCTCAAGAGCTCGACTGGCGACCCCGACGCCAACCCTCGAGCCGGCAATCGCACGACTTCGAGCACTCCGTGGCCAAGTCGATAAATGATTCGAAACGGGTTCACAAACAATGTGACTGTGTACAAGCCTTGGAGCACGACGAGGAGGGCTTGTTGCATGTAATGGCGATACAGCTTGTCAATGATGACGGTCTGGCTGTCGTATATATGGGTAAACAGGAGCTTGCTGAAGTACAAGCGAAGGTCCTTGACGTTTGACACGGGCAAGTACGTGGCCAACCGACGACCCGACGGCCCAAGCGTTGCAATGTGCTTGCCGCCATTCAATTCGAGCGAGAACAAGATGCGGATCGACTCGATGTCGAGTTGCTCAATGTACAATCCATCCGTGATGGGCTTTGCGTCAATGTCTGAAAACACAACGCGTTTGTCCAGAACCGAATCAAACGTTTCCGACGATCCGAGGCTTTCGAGGCCCTGGAACACGCTGATCAAATTCACGACAAACTTTTCGTCCGTCGTAATTTCGAGCTCTTGCAAAATCAGTTCCACGAGCTCGACGTGGAATGACCCGGCGCTGCACGTGTCGTTGTACAGCATACGAAGTTGCACCACCGGCAGCATTGCAATGTCGAATTGCTCAAACAACTTCTTGTGTTTGTGGCTCAGGCACTGTCGCCATCGGTCACGTAGCCGCACGCTCACGCCTTCCTTTCGCTTGTACCCACGAGGGCCGAACACCACTTTGCGATCCATTTGGTTGTCCATCTGGGTGTTGCCGACTGACAACGAGACTTCGCTCGTGCCTTTGTGGTTCTCGTACAGCACCTTCACGCGCTGCAGGATGAAATATGCCACGTCCAGTCGATTTGTGTTGTGAACAAACGACACCGCCAGGCTCGACAGGTACATGCTCACGACAAGGCCATTGCGGTATCGGCTTTGATCTTTGTCGTTGTCTTTGCTAAACATCGAGCACTTGATCGCGAGCTGCACTGACCCGACGGGTGTCCCATGCTGTATCAACGGCCACCACGATCCGTCCAAGTCGCCCAGTTTCCGATCGGTTGTGCGGAGTTGTTTCCACATTTTCTTGGGTATTTTGATGTCGACGAGGCCGACCATCTCCTTGTGCTTGGGGGGTGGGGCGAGAGCAGATGGCCCTGTCGGTGTGGTGTGAGGCTCATCAATCCAGCTAATCGACGATGGGGAATCCCATTCTCTGGCCAAGGTCGCCCTCAACTCGTCCAAATCACGGGGACCGTCGTCCAGTTGATGAAACGATGCGATGCGTGGGGACACATGGTCTGGCGTGATGGGCAACGGTGGGTGGTCGTCAATGTCGAGATGTAGCGAGTTCGAGATCTCTTGCTCGAAGAGCGCGACAAACAATTGCCGCGGTCGGGTGAAGCACGGAAACAACATGTCGTACTCAAAGCGGTACATCCCATGACCCTTCATCGTTGTGCTCGGTGTGATCTGTCGCGGGGAATCGGAGCAATCTGTGTGAACTGATACGATCGCTTCCGTTGACGTCGTTGTGTGTTGTTCCACATCCCGGCGGACAGCCACCACTTTGACTTCGAGTTTGTACTTACCTCGACGAAAGTCGTTCATGACGGCATCTCGAAACACAAGCGTTCGAGACGACACTTCGAGCGTGACATCGGCGGCCACATGAGCGCCAAGTCGCTTGAGTTCCCACACGACTGCTTCCTCCGAATCAAGACTGTCAAAATCGCACACTTTCGTCTTGGTTGGAGTCGTCCACTTCCCCATCGCGGATTGCTCCATGAAGATGCAGCACGACACTTTCCTATCAAAGCACAAAATGAGTTGCCTGGTTGTTTCGACGGCAACTGGCGAACCGAGGTGAGTCGGGACTCTCCCACGCGAACGGCATCCTGCCATTCGGTGGAATGACCAAGCTTTCCTGTTGGTTCACTTGAAAGAGTTTGATGGCAAAGTTCGTGTCGTTCCGGATACTAAGCATGGGCGGATCATCACGGGAGAGCTTAATCAAGATTGTCGCGCCGACAGTGTGCACTTTGACTCGAATTCGAGGGACCGCGTCTTCGTATTCATCAACGCGGGCTCCAGGCAACCACAGCGTGAACTCGTCTTCGTTTTCCACGGAAAACAGCCCGCTCCATCGATCCGAGTTGAGATAATTTCGATCCGATCCACCACCTGCTTTCAAGCACACAGTTTTGCCAGACAAAGTCAAGTCCCCAGGGTAGTCGAACGGGGTTTCGATCGTGTCGGCGGCGATTTCGACATTTCGACCACGGCCATGGGCTTCGCTGGCCATGATAAACTTGAGTCTCGTGTAGTTGACGACAACGTAACGCGACGAGATGATGACTTGCGCTGTGCGATGGAACTGACCCAAGGGACGCTGAATGGCCACGCCTACTTCATGCTTTTCCCGATGAATGCCCTTGAGAGTCAGCGACTTCTGCACACCCACAACTCCCGCATGGATTCGCTCGGACCACCTTCCTGGCTCATGGTTCATCACAGTGTTGAGCTCCAGGGCCAAGCCGGCGCAATCCATCAATCGAGGATTCGGTTGGTCTTTCATCGTCGGACACGTGACCATCATGTTCGTGTTGTCCGCACACCGCGCGAGCAAATCATTAACGTGCGAGTAGTTGTAAATCCACACAGAACAGTAGATGACCGTGCGTGGGCTCCCATTGTCCGCGACGGTGTAATCCAGTCGGGCGGTGAACAAGTGCACAATGTTGTGAATGAGGTCATTGAACACAGGGCTCTCGCGCACAAATTCGAGCGTGTCAGCGCTGCGGCGCTGCTCCGGCTCATCTGCGCGAGAAATCGTTTGGTTGGATATTGTCGTGCCTTCTTGGGAAATGCATTTGGCCAAACTGATCGGTGACGACCACGACGACGCTTCGTCAGGGGCGCACAAGTACAAGTACGCTTGCTTGTGAAAATGCAATAATTCAACTTCGTCCCCTGGCGCGAGTGTTCCTTCAGCCACCTGTTACGACCCCACACATTACAAGTTGCGAGTACCAGGTGGAGAGATACATGGAATATACCACGACTTTTGTGTCAAAGCGAGACGGAACTTCGAGCTTGTACTTCAACCGAATCGGGAGCGCGTTTTCAAACACAAAACCAGCATGAAGTTGAATTTGGTACTTGGCGTCGTGGCTGATGATGTCGGCCGTCGACGATTCCGTGTCAAACTGTTCTTCGCGGTACACGTTGCGAACGTGGCTCAATACTTCCATAAACAAGCAATACCCGCAGTCGTCGTCGTGGAGAGGGGCTAGATACAGAATGTGACACCCTACTTGTTCCTGTAGCGTCGCGAGCTCGGCGATTTTCGTCCGTTTGGAATTTTGTACTTGCACCATCACACCATACATATTGTCGCTGTACAGCGCGCCCAACGGCAGCGAATACTTTCGGCCGGGGTTCACTGGCACCATTGCCTATTTGTCAAACACACAACACATCATTGAGAATGTGCAGGGCAGTGTCACGGCTGTACCTCTAACTTCGGCACGCAGGGAAACGAAATGGAGCGACCACGAGAGCTTATAGGAAGAGGTAGATCGGTCGTCGCCACAGCATCGCACTCTATCAGGGGAAACGCGCCAACGTTCAGCACCACGCGCGTAGCATTCTTGACCTGCTTTGGCGAACTCAACATTAATACTCGGCGTAGTTCGTCGCGTTGGGCGACTTTCACTTCAGCCAGCACTCCTTCGCCTTTGATGAAGAATTTGCCAGCCCTTTGCAATGGACAGAGCAAACTCCGTGGCTTTCCGTCGACCATGACTTCCAGGGCAAGCGGTGGCACATAGCCATTGCGAATGCTTTCAGGCAATTTAATCTTCATGGTGGAGTCTCCATCGGTCGAGTCGCGGGTATCGACTCCACCAGATCCGAGTCGAAACGGATCCACCATCAGCGATCCACCACTGAGCACAGTTTGGACGGTCGATGGTTTTTGCAGCGGCAGCGTCGGAGTGAAATGGAGTGCAACCAGGACTTCGCCTGTCACCACGCCTCTTGGATCTCTCAACCGATGCCACTGGCAAAACTTGACTCGCTTCGCTTCCACGCCTTCCGTGCCCATGAGGTTGCCAGCCAAGTTGAGTTCGACGGATCCGTGGTCGTGCGTGTTTCCTTTGAGACGTACGTTTAGGCGCAGTTTCGGTGCTACGCCGGCATTCGCGCCGCCATAACTCAAGTGGAACGCATGGTTCAACGACGCCAATTCGTGGCTTCTTTCCTGGGGGTTCCACCACGGTAGCAAAATAACCTCGACCGTTGCGTCGTGGAATCGCGTGTACGCTGGCAAACTCCATCCGTCGCGTATTTCGACCGTGAGGACACCTGGGTTGGTCGTGTTCAAATTCGCCAAGCGAATGGCCACCCCCAAGTTGTTGATCACGCTGACGCATTCGGAAGTTTCGCTCGACGGCAGCATACGCTCCGAGTTCTTGAGTGAGGTGGATTTGTGGTGTTTGCTCACCGACACAACGAGGCGAACAAGGGCTTCGGTGAAATTGATGTTGAGACGATGGCGAGCTTTGAAATCCATCGTTAGCGGCTTGGGGGTGTCGATCGTTCCGTCTCCGACCGGTTTGGTGACATGGATGGCGACTTCCCATGGCTCAACGACAGGTTCCCAGTCCGCGAGGGCAGTGTTGTAGTACCGCGCAGAGAACGTGACCGACGCGTCCACTTCAAAGTCGGCGCGAAACTCAGTCGACGTTTGAGCGCTGCATTGTATTTCGTTCACGGAAAACTTCATCACGGGGATATACGTGTCGAGCGCCACCAACGACAAGCTGCGCTTGACCACTTCAAACACGACCGTTCGGCACCCAATATATATCGTGTCCTTGGTCCCGGACCAAAACGTGTAGTTGTACTTGTTGAGCAGCGCCAGGTATGTTTGATACGTCAGCAACGGTTGAATGTACGACAACGTTTGAAAGAATTCCGAGTTGCGACCAGTTTGACTGCGATGTCCACGCAAACTGCGCTGGGACCGTATCGACACCCCTGATTCATTGCGGACATGGCGGGGACGCATCGACTCAACCGGGGCAGTGATTGCGACTGGCGATGTGAGTGGAGACGGCGCAGCCATTGAAATGTTGTCATACGAGTAGTCGTCGAGGGGTTCGTCGTCGTCGTCAAACAGTTGAAGGGCTTCAAACAACTGGTACAACACGCGCATTCGTCCATCCGCTTCGAGTTTGACTTGATCGATTCGAATCGACGTCATCCGGTCCAGGGATTGCACCGCGAGCTCGTACTCCATGTCGGCACCGTCGATTTGAGCCAGCCGGAGCTGGTTTTCCGACGTCATGACATGCAGCGATGTCGACCCCAACGCGAGATGCAATCGTTCGCGATCAGTCGACGAGCCATACGACAATTCGTTGCCTTCCATGAGAAACTTAGCCACGCAGTGCTTTTCTTCAATGTACGCTTCAAACATGCCGACGCGAATATCCAGTGTGATTTCCTGGCATCGCAAAAACGGTTCAACCGACGAAGGTGCAGGGGGTTGACTCGCGTCTTCCCACATCGGCGCCAATTCGTGTAGGGCATCCGTCAAGACTTGTTGGAATGAATTCGGCAAGATGCAGCCGCTAAATTGAAGTCCTAAGCACAGTCCAGGCTTGAGAATCTCTCCAAACAATTTGTCTCCCATCTGCGGTCCACAAAACTGCATTGTCATCGTCATTTGGCCCTTGTCTTGCAGCTGCTCCGAGTTGATCGCGACGGCTTTGAGCTTGCCTCGTTCAAACTCCAAGAACGTGTCCCCAATGTACACAAGGCAATAGGGCTTGGCCGACCGCCGATCTCGAACTTCCAATCTACCCATTCGAAGTTCGGCCAGTATCGCGCCCGCTTGCTCAATGCTGAGGCCAGTACTAGGAGCTGGATCGTGGAAAAAGATTGTGCCAGACACGTGGTTTGTGTACAAACTGATCCACTTGTGTAAATTGGAGTACATCGTGCGCACGTTGTGGTTGGGTTTTGCCGTGTTGCTGAAGCGCACTCCCAAATGGGCACGCCACCATGCCGGCCACGACACCATTTTAGTCGGGGCTGGTCGCCGAAGGTGTTGAATCGACCGATCTTGCCGGCAATCCATTCTTTTCTCCCACAGAATATGCCGCCAGTCTGCGACTTCATCAAACGAAAACGAGGCCAAGAGAAAGGACCGCGACGACGGTTTTGTCGTGGGGTCCAACGACTTGCCCACGACCGTCACTTCAATGCAGTACGACAGCTGACCGTCAGACTCGCCCGCAGGCCCCAAGTGGCTCAAGTCCATAGCAGGTCGTACGCGAGGGGGGGAGTGCAATTTGTCGTTTATTTGTTGACAGGGCTCTGCCCAGTTGACCACTTCCACAATGTTTCCGACGTGGACGACCGAAGTGATGTTCTCGACGAATTCTTCGTCGATGAATACGCGACCAGTGTTGTCTTCGTAAAACCGCAACTGACCGGATTCGTCCAAGTATACATAATGTTCGTGCCAACGTCGGAAGGCAAGGGTGCAGTCCTGCCGGAAGAGCCAGCCGCGGTACGCTCCACGAACGTCCATCGTGCATTTCCGCATCCCGATCGGTGAATCTGGAAGTGGCGTCCGTGTCGTCACGTCAAACTCAGTCGACTTGTATCGATTCAAAACAAAATGCCACATGCTGATGCAGGACGGGTCGGCGCTCGCAACAAGCAGGTCGACAGTGTCCACGAGGGTTGTATTGATCCCGAATGCATTCGTGACAAAATGGGTCGTACGCCACTTGATCGACATGAACGACATGGGCTTGGCAAAGTACGGCGCGATGATGCTGTCGTCTTTGACTCGGATCGCGACGTCAACGCAATTCTCCATTTCGTACGACGCGACGTAGACTGCGCACGATGCGGTTCGAAATACACGCAGCAGGCCGCTTTTCTCGAGGACAAAGAAGAGCGGCACCCATCGTCGACTCCCGAGTCGATAGTCGTGGACGTAAAGGTACCCCTGTCGTTCCGTGGTCGATCGCAACGCGACACTGAACACTGACGCGTGATCGAAAGGGACGTCGGGAGGATATGACGGTCGAGGGGGCGGCAACGCAAACCGACGAATGTTGCGACCTCGCACGTATCGCTGCAAGTGAATGACCGAAGCCACGACACGTTCAAGCATTAGAGTGTCTTTGAGCCAGTCCTGAAGGCCCAGCGAGTTGCCATGCGCTTTGTGCAGGGTAAGTTGGCTGAAAATCGACCGGTTCGCTGGTGGATGGATTGCTCCCGCAACAGATTCCGCCCGCGTGGCTCGCTGTCGGTGGACGACGGCTTTGACATACACACGAAGCGACTGGATCGAAAAGTCATAACGGATGCGAAGGGGAATGTCAGCCAGAGGAATCGTTGAAGACGTCGTTGACGAAGCTCCACCCCGGCTGGAGAAATGAGCTGGCGCTGGAGGAAATGCTCGCTTGCAAAAGTCCGCCAACGCGACTGTAAATGCCAGCACTTTGGTCCGTTCGTAAATGAAGATCAAGTCACCGATATGGACTCCGTATTGTGTCGCGAACTGAGACTTGTCAGGTAGAGACGGATGGTCCGTTTCCAAAAAGTTCATCTCCAACACGGCAATCGGAAGGACGTCCTTGGGGTGCTTGATTTGATCAATGCTAGACGCCAAACAGTGGTTGCGGTACGGGGACGAGACCGACTCTTGCAGATAAAAGTGCCGCGCACACAACCGATACCGATGGAACGAAAACCACCCGGGACCAAATCCACGGATCGACAGATCGACAAACTGAAATATCGCAGCGGCTACCACTTGTTTCAACGGCGTCAGCACCAAACGTACCTCTACATGAGGCACCGCGACGTCTACATGTGAAACCAATTGCGACGGCGTCACTTGAGACGGCTGCACCCCTGGGTGGCGAAACGTCAACACGATGGCCGCAGTGAGGGCTCTGGCGCTGAGTTGTTGGTACAGGTCGTCGACAGTGGTGTAGGAAAAGAGCGACGACACGTCATGGCCGTCCACTTTCACAAGGAGGAGGCCAGGCTTGATGGCAGTGTTCGCCTTTGCCTGTCCAAAGCATTCGTCGACGACGGGGATTCGTGTCGTAGGACACAAGTACATTTTCAAGCCAATGTCTTTTCCCCGTTGAAACTTGACGTTGATTTGCGGCGCGGGAATCCCCAACGCTTCACCCAAGTCGTGCAGTGACGTGCGCGACATGTCAGAATCGATGGCGACATCATCGCCTTCAAACGCAATGTCGTTCCGCATCGCGATCGCCGCGTCGATGGACACGAGCTGTTCGAGCGTCTGCAGCTGCTTCCATGCGTCCGACTTCTTAACAATGTCCCAATTGGACTGTTTTGTGCAGACCTTGTGCAGTGCCGCCCAATGCACCATGTATTGTTCCTTCAGCGTCACCGTGTAGTGCTCGCGTTCGTCAGACCGCACGCGTTGGGCAATGGCTTGGCGCCACTGGTCGTGGAGGGCAACCGACGCTATCACACGCATCGCGAGCACAACTTGCTCGTCATCGAGCATGACAATCAGCCGCGACAGTTCAAACTGGGCGTTGTAGTGCGGAGTGTTTTCGGTTTTCTTGTCCGCCTGAATGTCAATGTTCATGGTCAACTTGAGCGTGACATGGAAAGGAGCCAAGACAAAGCGATGAGTGTGGGCATCGCTGTCCCCGTCCACTTGTTTCCACCACCGCAAATCCACTGTTGGGTCCGCCATTGCCTTGAGCCGAGACAGCGTCGCGTGAAGCACCTTGGGGTGCTTGGAAGAGTGCACGAAGTGCAGCGCGTGTGGGTCCACGTACGCCGACATGTTGGTCGCCTGAATAAGTTTCAGCACGACATGGTCGCCACTCTGCGGGTCAGCTTCATTGTGGGACTTGGCAATCCAATTGCTGCCGGTGGTTTCCGCATACAACGCGCCAATGCTACACCCTATCGCATACTTTCCACTCGCGAGGGATCGCGGCACCTTGGACAAGTCGCGATTCACGTCGGTCCCTTCGAAGCGAATGTGCACGTTCTTGAACTCGATGTGCAAGTTGTCCATCAAACGAGTGACAAGCCGTCCGAAGAACCCATCTGCGCCGTAGTACCCTTGCGACTCTTGCGAGGTGGCGGCTTTCTTCTTCGTGCTGCTCTTTGCGTCTTTGGCTGAAGTTGGAGGAGACGGTTCCTGTGCAACATTTGTCTGATTCATTTGAGGCCCGAGAATTCGTTCCAGAAAGTCCTTTTCGAGCGCAGCCTTCTTTTCGTCCTTGAGTGCCTCGAGTTCCTGTGCTTTCTCGACATCGTCTAAGTTGCGTGGCGACAACACGACGAGGACATCGGTGAGTGTGATCTTAGCAGGTGTTGTGCCGAATGTTTTGAATGGAATGTTCATCGTCAAGGACCCGATGAGACCTGCTTTAAGGCGGAACGGGGCCGAGACAGGAATGATCGTATCCTTCAGGTTGACGTTCTCAAAGCGCACATTTTCGTCGTTCCATATGTTGATGCTCAGGTCAAGCTTGTCACTCTCTATCCAGTCACCTAGAAGGTTGGCGACGATTGCCTTCAGGCGCCCTTCAATCATGATGTGTATGCCGCCGACGCCGATGGAGTTGCCGCCGCGCTTAAGTGTGTAAAGCACAAGAACTTCGAAAATGGACGCTGATTGGTGGATAAATGAGTCATCCTCCCTTCTCATTGGCTAAAATCTTGAGTACAGTTGGGTACTTCGGCAAATGCAGCGGAATGCAGAATCGCGGACATATTCAGCGCCCCTGACCGGCACCCGAGTGTGAAGTCGTCACGCTGCATGAAGAATCGAATTCCTATAGGTTATTCTTTCTTGATGCATGACAGCTTGTGCACTCGCCAGTGCGACTTCTGGCACGCTTGGCTGCAGTAGTATTCCGATTGGCATCGGGAGCATCGGTGCACGCCTTTCGACGAGCAAGATGGCGATGCGCATTGACGCCCTGTAGTTGCGGATACGGGTGTGGAGACGTTCTGGGATTGCCGTTGCGCGACCTTGAGCCATTCCGCGTCTGCGTTGAGTTCGGACAAGTTGAAGTCAAGGCGAACGAAAGCGTCGTCTACCATAGCAATACACGAAATCATGCGTGTGAATACACTCAAGCGTACCGTTATCGAAGATGCGGGCGATGAAGGCGTCGCCACGAACTTCCAACATTTTCCCGCATGCTTGGGCAATCGCCGATGCACGCATGTTCACCGATAGGTTCTTGGCAGTGCCCTTGTCGTCAACGTACAAGTTTACACCGACATGCTTCACGGCAGGTGTGTTTAAGATCAATGGAATCGAATCGACCAAACTTTCCATCTGCATCAGGACATTTCACGTGTGGGCCACATCGCAGACGGGCATGGAAAGATACCTGCAACATCATCGCCATCATTTGATCGTTGACGGTGGCGTCTTTTGGAAGCTAGATTCAAACTTTTTCGTAGAATATCGTGCGCGTGGCGACATCCGAGATGGACCTGCATACCTGCTTGAGGATCTGCTGACGAAATGCATCCTTCTGTTCTTCCGAGCTCGCCGCACCAGTTTTGCTCTTGAAGTGGGCTCGCAAACGTTCCGTCAGGCATGCAATCTGACCATCTACGTCCTGCGGCAAGTCAAGCCGCCATTCTTCCAGCTCGGTGCCCTCTTCCGCGGGGATGTAGACGATCGTGAACTGCTTCGGCATTGTGAGAAGTGTCAACCAACGACCCTTCAACCATGGTAACCGGATTCCGGATATCAACAGTGATGATGGAGGGAATCAAGTAAAACGTATTTTAACCTTGTTTAACCCATGGTGGTGTCATGGCGACCAAAGCCTTGCGGTTGGAAGAGGATGGCGCACGCCAGTTTACATTAGCTTCCTCCGCGCGTGAAGTGCTGCCTACCTCGTTAATAATCCCAGTGTACGCTTACTGGGTCGTAATTGCGGGGCATCATCACCTTGACTTGGGTGAGAAAAGTTGCTTTAAAAGTTGTTTAAACTGCAGAACGATTGTTACGTTTAATCCCCGTCAGATGGAAATGGAGCGATTTTCCCGCTACAAAGTCCATTTGGCTCGCGGGGAATGCCAAGCTGCCTGTCGCCTCCTTGTGCTGCCATCCATACACCGCAGAGCAGAATGCCAGTCCGCAATATATGGCGCCATGCCCTCCAAGGGGAACTGCAGCTGATCATTGGCCCCATGTTCAGCGGCAAAAGCACAGAGCTCATTCGGCGCATGCGACGATACCAGCACGCACAACTCAAGTGCATGGTTGTGAAATCTAAGATCGACGATCGCTACACGAATGAATCGTACGTAGCACGTGTTTCGACTGGTTCAGTTCGATTTGAGGGTGTCCATTGTCATGGTGCAGGCTGGTGAGCACCCACGATCGGCAAATGATGAAGGCAAATCCCCTCAAGCGCCTCGAAGATATGGGGGAGGAATTCATGCAATATGACGTGATCGGGATCGACGAGGGCCAATTCTTTGCCGACGTACGAGCCCATCTTGACGTTTTCAAGTCTTAATCTTCATTCCAGCTGCATTCGTTCTGCGATGTCGCTGCCAACCGAGGCAAGATCGTCATTGGTACCGTCACTTCATGGATTCTACTTTAGCAGTGCTAACAACCATGGTGCGTAGTCGCTGCCTTGGATGGGACATTTGAACGCAAGGTAGGAGCCATCACGATGCACTCGATCGGGCTTATGACGCCGTACATAGCCATTCCAGCATGTCTGTGACTTGATTCCGCGCGCTGAGAGCGTGACAAAGCTCAGTGCAGTGTGTGCCATTTGCGGCAGCGACGCTGGTAGAGACTTTGATTCTGGTCGAGCTGACCATACACGTTGTAGCTTTCACACGTCGTTTGGTGAGCAGCACGGCCGTGGAGGTACACCACCTACTGAACGATCCATCACATCCCTCCTCATGATATCCTGTGTCCTAGTTGGTTGGGGGCAGCGAGGCCTATCAACCCGTGTGTCGCAATTGCTTCACGACTCCGTTGGCCACCAAGGACGACGAGATGAATTAATCCAATGTATGCATTCGGGACGTATACGACTATCCAAACACGGCTCGCAAAGCCACTTGGGCGTCATCCGTGACTTGAGTCATCCATCCGCCGCAGACCAACACGCAGATGCTGTCGATGGCATCCAGGTCGGCCCCAAGGAACTCGCGCAACCGGCCAGTATACAGCGGGGCAAGCTACACACGACATGTGATTCCAATGGTCGACGCTGAACGTGAGAGATCGACGAAACAAGCTTCTTACAGCAGTGCCGCAGGCTGGTTCGACCACATACTTGTGGTCGTTGGCAAATCGGACGCACGCGTCCAGCGCTTCGGCGTCGCTGACGCTGCATGCATGCACACGCATTTCGTTGGCATAGGCGTACGCAGTGTCGGAGACGGCCATGGCCCCGAGCGACTTTGCGATTGTGTCAATTTTGGTCAATGCGACCTTTTTCTTGGCTTGCATCGATCGCTCGAGTTTGTTGGCGCCAGTTGTTTCCATCGCGAGGACGTGAGTTGAGTCCCATCCGTGGCTGCAAGAATAATCAAAGTGAGGACCGAACCAAGCTGGACCTGCCTCTTACTTCTTCAATCCTTGGCAAACGCCGGCAAAGTACCCGCCGCCACCGACAGCCACCACGACCAAGTCAGGTTGCGTGGGTAGCTGGGCCTTGAGCTCGGTGACGACGCTGGCATGCCCTTCCCTAGCACGTTGTGAGGAAATGTACTGATCACATTTTCATACACGATGTCGGCGTGGTCGAATGGATGAATGTACGCCGCGGAGGACGTTTCGTTGGCCTTGTCGAGGAACTGCATCGCCGCTTCATGGGCTTCGGCCCATACCTGGCCATTATATCTTCAAATCGCGGAGGAAGTGGAAGAGCGTACTTTGCCATGGACATTGACGTGAAGACCTTCCAACGCCAAGCGCTCCCGCATGTATGCTGGCGTGCTTTCCGGGACAAACACCGTGCCTGGAACCCCCAACTTTTGTGCACTGCAAGCAACAGCTAGCCCAGCATTACCACCCGAGCTGGCGACCAGTTGCTCTGCTCCCTTTTGAACGGCGCGTTCGCACTATGAACAGGGGCAAATCAAAATCACCGAAAAGTTAGGGAATCTGCGTACTGCAAGACCAACGCCGCGTAGTTTGAAGCTGCCAGAGGGCTGGGTGTTGTCAAGCTTGAGGTAAACACGCTTCTTGAGCAGATGGCTGAGCACGCGACTCTCGATCACAGGGGTAACGATGTGCATTGCGGTCGTCGATGCCATGATGTACACGCACGCACTCTTTCGTTCAAGTGTCATCTCGACTGTTGCCTATGTTGTTATTGGATAATATTATTTACTTTCTAGAGATTTCATTGGACGGTGAGGGAGCTTGAATCACCGATCAACACAACCCACCATGGCAACACAGCGCCGTCTCCTCCCGCTAGGTAAGCGGAACAGTTTGTCCGAGTGCGCAGCGACGTCATGTATGTGCAAGTAGAATTGATCGACAAGTGTATCGGATCTCGCATCTGGATCATCATGAAAGGCGACAAAGAATTCGTGGGAACGCTGAGAGGGTTCGACGACTACGTCAGTACGTTCACCGTCCCCCCTGTTGCTCCCAGATCGTGACCTTGACGTACTGTCTAGACATGGTCCTTGACGATGTTATCGAATAGTACGTTTAGAATCACATCGAATCCACCTTGTGCCCATCCCTGACCGTTCACTTCCTCACCACACAGCGAAATCACGCCGGAAGGCAAGCGCAAGGTCAAGGTTGACCAAGTTCTCTTGAACGGAAACAACGTGTGTCTGGTACGACCAAACAGTAGAGCTCGAACGCATAGTTGAATCATTGTTTTTATGTAGCTAGTGCCTGGTGGAAACCCCGAAGAAGAAAATGCCTAAGTTTGATATGCTCCACGCAACGTCGCGGTGGACGCTCATGCTACGTGAGTTGTCCGAAGCACGTTTCCAAGTTCTAACTGAGCGTCAATGCAGCAGCAAGTTTGATTCTACTTGTTCTTCATGAAACACTTTGTCCATGACGTGACGCAACCCATTTCTCGACACGCCATGCCGAAGCGATCACGAGAACATGGACAAGTAGCATGGTTTCCATTGTCGTTTACATTTTTTTTGTTCCTATACAGATCTATTTCTTGGACTTGGAGTTGTTCTTTTCCTTGATAGCTTTTCGATACGACAGCTTGATCAGTCGTCGCTTGTCTTCCATCGTTTCGAGGTTGTCGTAGCCTTTGCGTTCAAGTTCACCCAACGTTGGCTTCGGGTCCAACAGCGTGAACAACCATTCAGGGTACTCCTCGCGGGGTTTCAGTTCAGGGTGCGTGCCGTCCTTGAGGATGTTGACAGGAGCGTATTTCGTAACATCCACAACTTCATCCACGACCTTGGGCGCGGCGCCCTTCTTATCCTTGGCCTTGGCAGGGGCCTTGGCAGGAGCTGCGAACCCGCGCGTCAATCGCACAGCGGGCTGGCGTTGCGTGAGAGCTCGGACGCAGCGCAGCATGTCGCGTTCCTGTCAACCAAAATCAACTGAATGGCCAGCGGCAGGTTTGGCGACGATTGGTGCACCGTTATCCGGACATCCCTTCGTCAAAGTGAAATATCCGGATGATGGCCATGTGCAGCGGTGATGCGGCAGCCCGTCACTCGGCGGACGGAAGCGTAAATAGGCCACTCTTGAAGCCCACACGTAGGAGGTTTTGTAGTATGGTGCACGCGGCAGATGTGTGTAGCTCTGAAAATCTAGCATCTCACTTGGGAAATCACTTCGTGTATATACGCATGCGTTCAGGAGCATTGTATAATCAGGCAAATTCAAGGCCGAGAGGCGTCCCTACAGCTCGTCATGGCCTTCTTCGTTGAGCTTGGCTTCAATGGTGTCCCAGGAGCTTATAGACCCTCCAACAACGTTTGTGAAATGGGCTCGAATCGCTTGACGCCTGGCTGAGCTATGTCCGTGCTTCTTTAGAATGTCCAGCAAGAATGCATCCCTACGACAGAGATGTGAAAAACTCCCTTCGCAATGTTGTACCGTCGATTCTTTCGTGCAGGCCATGCGGCCAAGTTTTTGAGACTTGCAATTTTCTCCCAAGCGTCGGCAACTCGGGCGTCGCCTTTCAGCGCGACCGGAGAGTTGTGACGCAGAAGTTCCCGGGCCGTCTTGACGGACACCATAGCTGAGGGAATTGTAATGTTGTACGCGTCCCACGCATCGGTCACAAACGGGCGAGTGAGCGGACCGCCACCCGTTTGAACAAACAAGACAGATGCAGCTCCAGCAAGTTGCGCGTTCGAGACCTGCCAGTCCCACAAACACACGTGACTTCACAACTCGATAAGAGATGTATGGAGTACCTTTGTCAGGAAAGAGCAACTGCTATCGTCGACAAAGACCACGACAACACGATCAGTGACGTCTCGATCAAGTGTATGGCATGCATGCGATGGCATGGCCTCCACCACGGGGAGCAAGTGCGTGAGAAAAGGACTTCCAAACGTAGATGCCAAGAATTCCCACTCCGCGTCACTCTTTTCGCTGGAGTGAACATACCCCCCTCGAACAACAGATGACAAATGTGCAAGGTGCGACGGCTCGTGTGGGCCGCACACAGACTGCGGGCATGTCATGGGAATGAGTCGCCCAAACACATCTTCGCGATTCACGGCCACGCGAATTTGATCCCCTTCAGTCGACAGTGAATACACGTTTGGAAAATGCAGACTGTACCTCCACTCTTTCTCACCATGACAGTGGGAATCTCGATCTCGCCTTTGTCCACATGTGCCACTGGTCGAACAACTTCTTCCGAGTCGCTGACGATTAAGAGACCCGCGGCGCCAGCAGCTTGGACGTTTCTCGACTTGACTTCGAACGAGCACACGCCGCGATCCAACACGACAAACGACGTGTTGGTGATTAATGCAATGTCCGATGCGTTGAACGCGAAACATCCGAGCTTGTCCGACGGTGTCACAAACTTGCACTCGTCTCCCGTTATGGTTCCTCCGTACGAGTCTCGAAAGTACTGAATCGGCGCGATCCCATGGCGCAAGTAAATTCGTCCCCAAAAGGGACTGTCATTGCTCGATGTAGCCGGCGTGGCTGTCACCACGCTGCCTAATAGGAGCGCTCCAAGCACCGTCGGCGATCGCATTTTCGCGAGGACGTTTCCTTTCAAAATGGCGTTGAGCGGGGAGGATGTCGATTTTCGAATCATCGTGGCCCTTCGATAAAGATCCGTGTTGTTGGCAATTCCGCATCGGTTGTGCTTCGTACTACTAGTAGTAATATGTAATATACTAAAAAATGCGAGCTTGTCATTTCTTGGGAAACTCCCTTGAGTGAACTGGCAAAATCAAAGAATTCGCCTCATGTGTACGTGAGCGTACGCCACAACAAGCAGTTGCCCATGCAAGTAGTCTCGTACTTGGGATAAAGCGACGCCGAGTAATTGTTACACAACATGGTACCGCAGTTGGAGCATGCAGGCGCTAGCGGACTCTTCGTAAACAGCCAAATGTGCAATACGAACACTCCAGGTCTGGTACCCCAATCGTCCCATGGGATATGGAACGGCTTCACGGTCGATCCAATTCAAGACGACTTGTTTCGCAAAATTGTCTACTTCCGGCAGCGCAGTAATCAAACCGATTTGTTGCTGTTGTGCGAGACGCCACAGGGACATTTGCCCTCCAGACTTGGGTACGAGGTTGCGTAGTCCAGATTTTGTACACTGGACAGCAATGTATCAAAGCTGCAACGCCGTATTGCGTGTAGTGAGTTGAATGCAAGCGCATTGACCGGTTCAAAAGCGCATGCAAGTAAAATTGGGGTACGTTCGACCAACGCATTGAACAGTCCAGATTGAAAGCTAAGGTCCTTAAATAATTTTCTAGTACCTCTGTCCGGATTTTGCTGCAACATTCACCATTTTTTGAAATTGAAGACGAAAATGCTCGATATATTACAATCACGGGTATGTACATAAAGAGGGCGTAAAGGAGAAGACCAATCAAACGTTTTCGTGGCAAAATTCATCCAATCAAAACAGAAGCACCCAAGTACAAGAGCAATGCTTTATTCCATATAACATGGACGACAAACCCATCCGTACGGTATCCGGATAGTGTTATCCGTATGATTTGTTGACTTGCTTGTGTCGGACTGCACAATGCGCGCCAAGAAGGAGCTCTCGAACGATGATCGACAAGCCATACTTCAGCAA